CACATATGTTATAGCTCATTTGTTAGGCATGTACACATTTAGAATTGCTATGTCTTCTTGATGAATTTACCCTTTTATCGTTATAATGTATCCCCCACTTTTCAAAAGTTCTCTTAATGCCACTTCACTTTTATGAAAGACCTACATTAATACCTGTTTCCACTAACCAAAAGAAATCCGTGGAAGATTTATGCTTTTATGAAAAAAGGTGAAAGAAGAAAATAGTGTTCAACATTTGCTTTACGGTGAGCCATTCTAAAGGCAGTGTGCACCCCAAGCAGCAAGAGTGGCACTGCCAAGCTCCTTCCCTGGGAACTACACTCAGCGTCTCAGCATCATATTGCCATAGCTCTATTGTATCTGTGAGCATCTGTGTTTTATCTTATTTTCTGTATGTGTTAGCTGATGTGTCCTATGGTGATTGTTTCTTTGCTTTATGCCTTTGTGGCTTAGGAAAGGCTTCACAGGAACGCACTGCTTTCAAATAGTGGGGGAAACCTGTATATGTTCCTCTGTGTCTCTAGTGAAATTTTTTTTGTTCTGATGTCTACTTTGTCTGATATTTATTTTCTGATATTAATATAGCCACTACAGTTTTAATTTGATTTATGTTTATATGATACTTCTTTTTCCATATTTCACTTTCAACCTACCTAAATTGTTATATTTGAAGTGAATTTCTTATAGATAAAACATAGGTGGGTCATGTTTTTAAAGTCACTAGCCAATCTTTGTCTTTTAATTGGTGTATTCAGACCATTTACATGTAATGTAATTATTGATATGTTAGAGCTCACATCTGCCATTTTATTTATTTATTTTTTGTTTACTGTTTGTTCTGTTTTTTGTTTCTTTGTTTTCTTTTTCCTACATTCTTGAGTATTACTTGAACTTTTGAAAAAATTCCATTTTGATTTATCTAGTTGTTTTTGAGTATATCTCTGTTTGGTCTTTTAGTGGTTGCTCTATATCTTATTCCAGTCTACTGGTGTCATAATTGTACCAGCTCAAGTGAAGTATATACACCTTACCTTCTTTATATCTCTTTACCCTCCCCCATTTATAAGACAATTATCTTAAACATTTCCTCTACATATGTTTATAACCACATCATAGCGTGTTATAAGTTTTGCTTCCACTGTCAAACATGATTTAGGAAAATCAAAAGGACAAATAAAATCTATTTACCCCTATTTTTACTCTTTTCATTGTTCTTTCTTCCTTCCTAATGGTTAACAATTCCTTTTTTAATCATTTCCTTTCTGCTTAGAGACTTTCGTTAGTCATTCTCTTAGGGTAGATCTGCGGGTGACAGATTCTCCCAGTTTCCCTGTTTTTATTATGAGAATGTCTTGATGTTCCCTTCATCCCTGAAGGATATTTTTGATGGGTGTAGGTGTCTGTTGACAGTTTTTTTTTTCTCTCAGAACCTGAAAAGTATTGTGCCACTTCATTCTGACCTCCATACTTTATGATGAGAAATCTTTTGAATTGTTTCCCTTTGTAAGTAAGGTGCCCTTTTTCTCTTGCCACTTTCAAGAGTTTTAATTTATCTTTAGTTTCCTGTGGTTTGACAATGAAGTGTCGTGTGGATTTCTTTGAGTTTATTCTGTATGGTAGTCACTCAGCTTCTTGAATCTGTAGGTTTATGTCTCTTGCCAAATTTGGGAGTTTTTCAGCTATCATTTCTTTGAATACTGTTCAGCCTTCTCTTCTTTCTCCTGTACTCTGCTACTCTGAAACAGGAATGTCAAATATTCTCTCATAGTTCCCTAGGTTCTTGAGGCTCTGCTCTGTTTTTTCTTACTTGTTTGATTTTTGTTTTTTAAGTCTATTTTCTCTCTCTCTTTTAGATTGGATAATTTCTATTATTCTCTTTTACCACTTACTGATTCTTTCCTTTGTTGTCTTTATTCTGTTGTTGTGCCCTTCCATTGAGATTTTAATTTTGATTATTGTATTTTTCAGTTCTAAATTTTCCATTTTGTTCTTCTTTGTATCTTTTATTTATTTGATGATACTATTTCTTTGTTGAGACTTTCTATTTTTTCATGTGTTTCAAGTGTGTATACAATTACCCTCTGAAACATTTTTATGGTGGCTGCTTTAGAATCTTTGTCAGATACTTCTATCATCTCTGTCATCTTAGTGTTGGCAATCTATATCAGGCAGGGTTCTCCAGAGAAATAAAACCAATAGCATGTGTGTGTGATGTGTGTGTGTGAGAGACAGAGAGAGATTAAAAAAAAAAGAGATTTATTATTAGGAATTGGCTCATGTGATTATGGAGGCTGGCAAGTGCAAATCTGCAGTAAACTTGGGCTGGCAGGCTCAAGACCCAGGAGATGCTATGGTGCAGTTTTAGTCTGAAAGCCAGTAGTTGGAGACCCAATAGTGCCAATGGTACAGATGAAGTCTGAATTCTCTTATAGAGAATTTTCTCTTACTTGGAAGAGGGTCAGTTTGTTGTTCTGTTCAGGCCTTCAACTGATTGTACGTGGTCCACCACATTACGGAGGGCAATCTGCTTTACTTTATCATCCAAAAACACACTTGCAGAACCACCCAGAATAACGTTTGGCTAGATATCTGGGCACCGCATGGCCCAGTCAAGTTGACACGTAGAATTAACCATCGCAGCATCTGTCAATTGTCTGTTTTTGTTCAGTCTGTGTTCCTCCTGGTTCTTGGTATGGCAAGTGAATGTCAGTTGAAAGCTGGACATTTTTGGCATTGTGTCCTGGGACCCTGGATGTGACTTAAGCCCTCTGTTTCAGCTGGCTTCCTCTGACCATTCTGTCACTGGAAGCAGGGGTTGCTTCCTTGCTACTGCAAGGTGGGAGTAGAAGGCTGGAAAGTTTCCCCACCTGGCCTCTGTTGACACACTGTGGGGGCCTTCTCCATACTGCTGAGTGGGATGGTAGTTCTGGCTCCCCACTTGCCTCTAGGATACTTACCTGGTTGGGAAGGTTTTGTGTACCTCGTTTCTGCTCTCCACGTGGTCTCTGCCCACTATGTGGGTGGGGGGGTGTGGCCTCGGTACTGGGTGGTGGTGAAAGTCTGACTTTCCGGCAGCACCTTAGTGGGGAGGGGGTGGTGTGTCTTATTACTGTCACGTGGGGGTGGAAGTCCCGGCTCCCCGTGTGTCTCCACTGATACCACAGAGGTGGGGTGGGATGGGGGCCTCATCAACCATCTGTCGAGGAGGACGTCCCACCTCCCTGCTTGTCGTTCTCTGACGTCTCTGTGGTTTGGGAGTGTGGGGAGGTTGGTTACCTCATTACAGTCTGGGGAGGGTGGTCGCCTAGGCTCCCTCCTGGGTCTTTGCTGGCAGGGATGGAAGTTTCACCACGGTTTTTTTCCGCCCTGTTTGGCTGGAGTAGTGCAGTTATTGTCTGCCGTGCCCCCCTTCCTGGCCCTTTGGTTAGAGAGAGAGAGTGCTGGCTTTTGGTGTATTTTTTGTCTGTGTCTCTTGGCATTTCCAGGTTGTAGGCTTTAAAAGCCCCAGGTCTGGGATATATGAGGCAAAAACAAAACAAAAACACAGGGAACTCACCATGGGTCCAGAGGTTCCAGCTCATCTGCTTTCTTTTCTCCACTTTTCAGAGTCTTCTGTGAAATATATATTTGCTCTAGATGTAATGTCCAGGCTTTTAATTGTACTCAATGGGAGAAATAGGGAAGAGTATGTCCACTCCATCTTCCCAGAAGTGCGAGTCCTTGTTTGTTTTGTCTTGTTTTTGCTTTGGCTACTGATGGGAACGGTCCATCAGAGGGAGACTGCAGGAGCCAAGTCCTCGAGTAGGTGAGGGGAGCTGGGGCCGCGGCAGCACATCTCTCCTTTTTCCCAGAAGGAGGCAGGTTTTGAGGGTGCCCTTCGGGGAGATGGGCGGCTTTGGTGGCCATCTTAGCCCGTTGGTCGGAGTTGCATGTGGGGCTGGCAGAGGTGTGGTCTGGGAACACTGGCAGACGTAGAGCTGGGGGTCTGAGTGTCTATTCTGGTCAAGGCCCGGGGGTCTCAGCGGCCAGCCTGGAATCAGTGTCCGGGAATCAGAAGCCACAAGTGGCAGGCAGTCCAGGGGACTCAGGACTTGCAGGGGTAGAGTCCGCAAATCTGCCTAGGCCAGCAGACGCTGGAGGGCAGGAATTCCGACAGCAGCACTGGAGATCAGCCCCAGCCTCAGGGCAGTGCCAGGCCGTCTTCCTGCCTCTCTCCTGCTCAGGGCCCTGGCCCTTGGCTTGTGAGCCGCCTCTGAAGAGGGGAGCAGAGGGGCCGGGTGGTCACCTGCCCACAACACCCACCCCTCTTGGTTCACTTCTAGCGCCAGACTCGTGGGGAGAAAGAGGCTCTCCATCCCTCTCAGCTGGGTCGACGGGGGGCCCCTGAAAACAAAACAACAGTGGAAATGAATTGGACTCAGAGGGCCTCCCCCTTCTGTGGGCTGTGCTCTAAAAATCAAAAGGTCTGGGAAGACCTTTTGCATTTGGTTATTTAGACCAGGCCCTGGTGCTGGGTTCTGTCTTAGGCCCAGCTCTTCCCTGGGGACCTGTGGGCTTGCCGTTGACGGGGGAATGCGGCACAGGGCTTACTGCTCTGAGCTGTGGAAACTGCAGGAGACAAAAAGAAGATCAGACTTGGGCCTTGGGGTCCATGGGCTTCACAAAGGAGGAATGTCTTCGGAGCTGCCTGGTGTGTCCAGCAGCCTGGGAAGCAGAGGGGAGGTGTCCAGGCGGGATACCTGGGGCAGCCCTTGGCCCCCTGGGGCTACTCCTGGGCTCCTTTTCAAGGAGCATGAAGCTCCTGGGTCCTTTGGGGGCCCCAGCCCCAGAGGGGGGCTCTGTGGGGCAAGGGCAGGCAGGCGTGATGGTGGGTCCTGCCTGGATTACCTGTCTGGACCCGCCTGCACTCGGACTCTGCCGGTGTGTGAGAAGGGCCGGGGAGCTTCTGTGGCCAGGGCTCTGTCCTGCCCACCGTCCTGCACATCTCCTCTTGCTTCCAGACCAACGATGCGGCTGGCAACACCTGGAACTGGCTCTACTTCCTGCCCCTCATCATCATCGGCTCCTTCTTCATGCTCAACCTGGTGCTGGGCGTGCTCTCGGGGTAAGAGGCCATGCGGCTGTGTGCTACCTCTGTGTTCGCAGGCCGGGGAGGGGGCGGATGAGACTGGACACGGCCTGTGTGGTGGGGGAGGCGAGGCTCGGCCTGGCCCGGGACGGTCACTCCCAGCGTCCTGAGCTCTAGCCAGCCTGTCCTTGGTGCTGCCATTCTGACCTCTCCCTTGGTGGTCCCTGGCCCTGGCCTCCTTACCCCTAGCTCTTGGCCTTCACCCCGGCCTCTGAGTCAGGGGAGGGGCTGCTGCTGCCTCTTATCTGGGTTCGTGGTGCGGTTTCTGAGCAGCCCTGGGGACAAGAGAGCCCTTCTGTGTGACACTGGAGAAGGAATGGAGCGGCCTTGGGTCTCCAGCCCAGCCCTGACCCCTGGCTTGCCTCGCCTCTCTGGTCACCTGTCCCTGCTGACCTCCAGCAGAAGACAAGGGAGGATGCAGCGCTGGGGTCCCTCCTGGAGAAAGGTGCTTCCTACCTACATGGGTAGTGAGGCGTAGCACACCTGTGGCCCATAGTGCCCTCCTGTCCCGCATCGGGCCGAGGACCAAGGAAGTGCTGCTGGCTTCAGGGAACAACCAGGGCTCGTATTTGGGGCTCCTGCCCTTGTCTGGGGCCGAGGAAGCTGTGTAGACAGAGGGAGAGGGCATTGGGCTGGCCTGCCTCCCTGCCCCCACCCGAGCATCAGATTCCCTGTAGGGCTGGAGGGGAAAGTTTCCATTCCACCCGCCTTGAAGATTCCTGCTCAGGCCCAAGGCTCCTGAGGTCGTGACTCAGGGGGCAGCTATCATATTGGTCTGGAAAGGAACAGCCGCAGAGAGGACAGTGGCTGGGCCCAAGGGCTCTGTGCCCTGGCTCTGGCACGTGTTCCTGCCTCGGCCCCTCCTGTGAGACTATGACTGTTAGTAGTGTGTCTTTGTAAGCACCTCCGCCGGGAGCAGGCAGGCCCACAGCACAGGGGGCCGATGAGAACTCCTAGTCGGGGCGGCGGGGGGAGCTGTGGTCCGAGCTGGGATGGGGAAGCCAAGGGAGGCCTGGGGCTCAGAGAAGGCTCCTGGGGAAGGGGCAGCTCAGCTGAGGCCCAGAGGGGACCAGGAATGAGCTTGGCAAAGGAGAGGGGAGCATCTCCCAGGCAGAGAATTGTTGGGGCGGAGGCACAGAGGGTGTGGTGTCTGCGATGCTCAGAGCTGGGGCTGCTAGATGTGGGAGCTTGGCCGGGGGCCAGACTCATGAGGAGGGCAGGCCCCGTGCTGGGCCATGTGGCGGGGAGGCTGGCGGGACACGAGTGGGTCCTGCTCAAGCTTACTCCGGAGAACGTGAGAAAGAAGCAGGGGTAGCAGCGGAGACTGGGTGAGGGGCCCCGAACTTTGTGTTTCCCAGCCCTGCCCCAAGCTGCGGGCATCCTTGCCTCTGGGGACCAGCCGATACGATACCAGCTGATTTTCCTAATGAGCTCAGCTGAGCCCTCCCTCTGGCCTCCAGCTCCAGCAGCGGGGCCCCAGGGTTCTCTGCCAGCCCTGGGGAGGCTGGAGACTGCGCGGCCCCTCAGGCCAGTGGTCAGCACACGACATGTGCCCATCTGGAGGAGGGCTGCTGACCGGCCAGCCTGGAGCTGGTTCAGCCTTGCTCCCCGCCACGCCCCGGGCTCTCACCCTCCCAGTGCCCAGAGAAGCAGAATCGGTGGTTCCTCTCACAGCTCTTCCTCCCAGTGGGGCCAAAGCCTGGGGAGGGCGGGCCACAGCCAGCCGCCTCCTGAGCAGTGGCTGCCCGGCGGCCAGGCCTTGGTCACTGCAGCGAGTTTCTGCTGGCAGCTCTCGGCCAACCGGGCAGTATGGTCACGCCCCACTGCCACCCCCAGGCCCTCCTGCCCTCCGGTGTGGTTGATGGCGCTGGCCTGGTGGGGAGACCGCGAGGGGCCCCGCGTTCCTGCAGATTCCGGACTTGGTGAGAGGTCCAGGTGGGAGCCGTCTCCTCTCATTGCCAGGGTTGCAGCAGCTCAGGCCCTGGTGGACACCAGTCTCAGGCTTGGGGTCCATCCTGGTCGGAGCCAAGCTCTCCCTCTCACCGTGGCTGCGTGACAGGAGCCAGGCCTGCCGGGCCCGCCCCCTCTGCCAAGCCCAGAAGCTGCTTCTCCTGCGGGAGAGACAGCTGCTCGCTCGCCCGGCAGAGAACAGGCATAGCTGTTTTGCCCTGAGGGTGTGCCTGCCTGCCCTCTGGGGACCTGAGCTAAGGTCTGTGCGCGGGCACGCGCTCTTGTGCCCGTGTGTGTGAATGGCTTCCTTCTGGCCTTTTGAGCCTCCTGACTTCTAAGCTTGGCTGGGAGACGGGCTGTGGTGCTGGGGGCCCAGGAGGGCAGGAGAGCCTCAGTGGTTTGCTGAGGAGCTGGGTGATTCTAGAATGTCTCCCTGTCATCTCTGGCTGCCCTGAGCCGATCCAGTGCCTGCCCGTCCCTCCTCCTTCTAGCAAAGGCTCTGGATCTGAAGCAGCAGAAGAAACAAAGTGGAAGCTCTGCTCTGGGGGATTGTTGTCCAGAAGCTCTGTGTAGCGTCTCTGTCCAGATGGCAGGGCCCGGCACTCGGAGGGTGCATGCCCAGGCCTGCTCTAGGCCAGGGGGAGGTGGAATTGTCCCTGCCCTCTGGAGCCCCTCTCTGGGCGCGGAGGCGCTGTCCCTACGAGCTGCAGGAGCCTGAGGAGGGAGGGCTCACCTGGGCCTGTTAAGTGCTGGGGAGGCGGGGAAAGACCGGGTGATGGAGGTACCCGGAGGGGTGGCCCGTGGCCTGCTTCCCCCGTCCTGGCCTCCTCCTGAGTCCCTGTGCCTCTGGCCGCACACGGGGGGCCTGGGGGCATGCTCACACCCACCAGCTCTGCTTCCTGCTGCGGCCTCGCCCATCACAGGGAGTTCGCCAAGGAGCGCGAGCGGGTGGAGAACCGCCGGGCCTTCCTGAAGCTCCGCCGGCAGCAGCAGATCGAGCGGGAGCTCAACGGGTACCTGGAGTGGATCTTCAAGGCCGGTGAGGACAGGGCTGCGTGGTGCTCCTGGCCTGGCCTTTGCTGGCTCCTCCTCCCCGGACCCTCCCAGGGCCGAGCTCACCTGGGGCGGGGGCTGCCCTCGGGAGGGCGACTTGTGAGGTGGAGCAAGCCAGGCCCTCTTCCCAGGGTGCTGTCTGTGGGCCCCATCAAGGGGTGTGTGTCGGTGGGACAAGCTCAGCCACGGGCCCTGCCGGCTTCGGGAAGCGTGAGGGCCGAGAAGGCAGGGTCTCACCTCCTTCCTGCTGTGTTCCTGGGGGACGAGCCCTGGTCAGGGGTGGGGACAGGAGGGCTGTGGCCTGAGGCTGTGTCTCTCTCACAGAGGAAGTTATGCTGGCCGAGGAGGACAAGAATGCAGAGGAGAAGTCCCCTCTCGATGGTAGGTGACCGCTGTCCGCACTCCTTGCCTGGCCACGGGGCTTTGGTGGCTGGGCGGGCAGTGACACGTTTGCACGCTTGCATGTGAAGCATGATGCCCTCTGTTCAGCCAGGTGCCTGCACGTTGGTCGCTTACCATGGTCCTGGGCGGGGCCTTTCTGGAGGCAGGCGCTGGGAGGGTCAGCTGCCCGCTCCTGGGGGGCTGCGTGCCATGGACCAGAGTGGGCATCGCGGGCAGTGGGCTCAGCCTGGGGGTCACGGGAGCCTGTGCTGAGAGCTGGGTTTTCCAGCGTGGCCGCTGACAGCTGACACGTGACAGTGTGAGCTTGCAGGTGCGTATGTTACAGTGAAACAAAAGTGAAAATCCAGCTCCTCAGTCTCGGCCCGTTTCAAGTCATCATAGAAAGTTCTGTTGGACAGCGCTGCTTCTACAAGCTTGAAAAGTGCTAGTTTAATCCAAGCTGTATCTGTCCGCAGGGCTCAGGGAGATGCCCCCAGATTGCTGTAGAAAGACCCCAGCACAGCCTGGGGCCACGGGGGCAGGGACGGGGGCCAGCACAGCCCCGGTGGCAGGAAGGCTGCTCTCTCTTCACACCTGCTGCTCAGGACGGGGCCAGACAGCATGGCCACGCATGTTGCGGTCTCACCTGGGCCCACACCTGGGGCCACACCTGGGCCCACACCTGGGGCCTTGAGCAATCTGTGCTGGCCCCTCTGCGCCCTTGACCTGACCTCTCTGGTCTCACCTGGCCTTGGAGTGTGGGCCGTTGGGGAAGCCGGCTGCAGCCCTGTCCCTGTCCCACATGGAGGTTTCCTGGTCTCCATGGTAGCCAGGCCTTCCCTGTGGGCATCATCGTGGAGAGAAGGACAGGCAGGACCCAACCTCAAAATCCCTTTGTCCCTTTTGCTCTGAAGACCGAGAGGGTCCCATGGGGGCCAGGCATCGTCCTGCCTTCCCTTAGCCTCAGCTTCAGGAGAGATCTGGAAAGGCTGCCGGTTCCTGGCACCGCCCACAAGGGCACCACCCAGCCCCGAGGCAGGTCATCTGGAGGCCCGGACTCATGCCGCCCCCTCCCACCCTTTGTTTAAAGCAGTGTTGAAGAGAGCAGCCACCAAGAAGAGCCGGAATGACCTGATCCACGCGGAGGAGGGGGAGGACCGTTTTGCAGACCTCTGTGCTGTGGGTGAGTCTCGGTGGGCCTGTGACTGCGTGCGGAATGCGCGCCCCCTCCCTCCCTGTCGCCTCGGCTTCCCTCCTTCCCTACCGCCCACACCCCCAAGTAAGCCAGCCCCGTGTGTGTCCACCCGACAGTAGGAAGTACAGCGCCCTGGTACTGGGATTTCTGCCTGGGGCCAGCCCTTGGGGTGGGCTGCGTGCACAGCTCCTGGAAGCCCCTTTTTGCTCCGGCCTCACGCTCATGCGTTTCAGCACACTGCTGGCTGCTGCCTGCTCTTGGCTCTGCCGTCCTGTGTGGACGTGGAGCCCTTGGGCACTTCCCAAGGCCGGAGGCTGCGTGTGTCACTGACTCTGTAGGGATGGAAAGTTTCTTGCCATCTCTCTTCTAAACCCTGTGTCTCTCCCATGTTCCTTGGGTCTGCTGCCTCTGAGGCCTTGGCTTCATCCCCTGCTTCTCAAACAGTGAAAGGGGAACCTGGTTCTTTTATCTTTTATCGTTTTAGTGCCTCCTCTCAGCTTGGTACCAGAAGTCTGGCACCAGAAGTGCCCAGGCCTCTTCGCGCTAAATGCCCTGTCATTGTGCATTCTGCGGCAAAGGGGGGCTCAGCCCTGGGTCTCCACCTTCGGCAGTGTGGGAGGGGGGCCAGCGCTTGGCAATGACAGCTTTTCATGCACAGACCTCCTTGCTCTCCAGCCATCCTGAGTGGACTCGGGTTGGAAGAGCTGCTTCCCATTCTGTCGTTACGTTTATATACGGACCTCTCCAGTGAGTCATTTGTGTATTTGTTTATCTGTTTATTTACACCTTCCCCTTCTTTGTCCCCAGTAAACCCATGTTAATAGCTTGGGGTTTACCCTTCCTTGTTTCTCGATAACACTCACACATGTGTGCACGCGCATGCGCGTGTGCGCGCACACACAGGCACATATACGTGTTGTAGAGTTTTGGGGTCTTTTCATGTTACAGAAATAGTTTCATACAAATTTTTTTCATCAGTGCCTCTTGGAAACCCCTCCCCATCAGTTGGTCTGATTTGAGTTCGCTCTTGTAAGTAGCTGTGTGGTGTTCCGTGGTGTGGATTCACTGTCAGGTAATCAGCCGCCCCCCAAATCCTATAAACATCTGTCCTTCCTCACCAGTGCTTTATGTCCCTCGCGGGATGGGTTCCCAGGAGCTGGGCTGCTGAGGTGAGGGGTGTGTTGGCACCTTCAGGGCTGCCGCCACACTGCTCTCCAGAAGGGCTGTGAATTCACACCCACCAACAGGGCGGGAAGACGTCGGCCCTCGTCCCGCCTGGATGTTGCAGCTACTTTTGACTGTTACCAGTCTGAGGGTAATTGGATGATTACAGAGTGATATTTCACGGGGACTTTAATTCTCATTTCACTCACTACTGGTGATTTTGAACCTCTTTTTAAATGTTTCTTTCCCATTAAAATTTAGCTGTTGGTGACTCTTCGTATACTCTGTACATCTTCTATTGGGTCGTTTGTGTTTGTCCATAAGAGACCCATGCATGTTGTGGATCTGAATTTTGTTCAATTTTTTTCAAGTTTATCATGTGAGTTCCCTCCATTCCTATTTTACCTAGAGTTTGTCTTCTGATTTTGTAAAATGAATTGGAGAGTTAAAAAAATCTTTTTCTGTAGCTTGGAATAATTTAAATAACACCTAGATTTTCTGTTCTTTAAAGGTGAGATAAAAATGTGAACCCGTCTAGTTAAAAAAGGAAAAGAACTTGGACCAGTTTTATAAATTATATTTTGTTAGGAAATCTCCCATTTTGTTGCCTTTTCTAACTTGTTTCTATAGAGCTGCATGTAGAGTTCTCTTATATTCTTTTCATCTCTTCTGTATTCAGTCATTTGCTGGTCCATTCACTCAACAGATATTTACTAAGTGCCCAGATGCGCTGGGAAGTGCCTGCGGCATTGGGCTACGGCACTAAGCAAGATGCAGAAGCCTTTCATTTTTTGGAGTTTCCATTCCAGTGCTAGGTGTGAAAAAGAAAAAAAAGTAGAGAAGGAGGGGGCTTGAAGGGTCTGGGGCGTGTTGGAATTTTAAGTAGAGTGGCCGCAGATGGCCTCGGGAAAGGTCGCCTTTGAGTAAAAAGCTGAAGGAAGTGAACAAGCCAGCTCAGCTGGAGACGGAGCATCCCCATGACAGGTGAGAGGACCCTGAGGCAGGAGAGTCCAGGAGGCCGGTGTGGCTGGGGCCAGGTGGAGGGGGCTGGGCGGGGTGGGGCAGCAGGAGAGGAAATGACCGGGTCAGGGGACTCTGGGTGCCAGGGTGGTCTTCAGAGGGGAGGCAGCCTCTGGCTCCTGCGGGGCGCTGGGGACAGACTGCCGTGCAGAGAGGGCAGGAGCAGGACCAGGTCGGAGGCCGCTATGAAGACCCCGCGGCTGGTGGCAGCCACGGGGGTGGTAAGTGGTTGGATTCTAGATCTATTTTGAGGACAAGCCCACAGGATTTGCTGACCGGTCGGACGTGGGTGTGAGAGAAAGAGAGAGACATCAAGGACAGCTCTGCAGGAAGTGTCCATAGAGTAGCCCTCCCTGGGAGGACGGGACCTGGGACACGTGCGTTCTGGGGAACGATGTCCGGAATTCGGTTCAGAAGTGCTGAGTTTGAGACGCATGTTGGAGATGCAGTGGGGTGTCAGGTGGGCGCTTTACATGTTGGGCTCTGCCATTCAGACTGCAGAACCTATTTAAAGCTCTGAGACTGACTACAGTGTGTTGAGTTTGGTTTTGCTCTTTTCCAGTTGTTAGTATGTTGACCTTTGCTTTCTATTTTCTGAATTAGGATCATATGAGGTTAGTCTGTATTAATGATCATTTGAAATAACCAGATTGTAGATTTCCTTTCTTCTATTTTTTGTTTTCAATTTTATTATTTTTATTTTTAACCTTTATTAGGTTTATGTTTTAACATTATTTTGATTTATTATTATTTTTCTAACTTCTGAAAATGTGTCACTTGTTCTTTTTTCTTCTTTAACAGCAAAAGCACTTACGGCTGTATATTTTCCTCTGCACAAAGCTTTGCTGTGAAGTCCCCCTCTGTACTGTTTCCAGATAACAATTTCTTTACTTTCCTCTTGAGGCAAAGGTTATCTGCGAGTGTGCTTCTTAATTTATAAGTATGTTTTTATTATATCTAATTTTATCAGATACTGATTGGGAAATGTGGCCAGTAAATCTCTAAGTTTAGAAATTTTCAAACTCTGAGTTCACGACTGATTTTAAAAAGTTTCACTGATGGAAAGTGTATGCTCTGTTTTGGAGAGTTGTCTGGTTGTATGGGTATCTCTTAAAGTCAAGTTTATTGACTGTGTTCTCCAGTTCTTTAGGTCTTTGTGTTTTGTCACTAGGTCTGTTCAGTTCTGAAAGATGTGTTTTGAACGTTCCCACTTCATTTTATTTTTTTATCAATAAGTTTCTCTTGTATTTATTTTTCCTTAAAATTCTGTGTGTGTGTGTGGTAGGAACACATCATGACATCATGAGATCCATCCTCTCCAATTCCAAGTGTGCAATGGATCACTGTTGATCGCAGGTGCTGTGCTGCTGGGCAGCAGGTCTCCGGGGCTTGTTCATCCTGCTTCACTGAAACTCTGTTCCTGTTCATCACAGCTCGCCATCCCCGCCCAGCAGCCCCTGGTCACCACCGTCCGGTCTTTGGTTTTATGAATTTCATTATTTTAGATACCTCATGTGCGTGTAATCAGTCATGAAGTATTTGTCTTTCTGAAGGTAGCTTGTTTCACTTAGCGTGACATCCTCAAGGTCCGTCCGTGCTGGTGCATGTTGCAGAATCTCCTTTTTTAAGGCTGAGTAGTATTCTGTGGTGTGTATAGACCACATTTTCTCTATCCATTCATCTGTCAGTGGACATTTAGGTTGCTTCCACATCTTATCTATTCTGAATAGTGCTGCAGCGAACATGGAGAGCTCAGATCTCGTCAAGATTCTGATTTCAATTATTTTGGAGATCTCTCTCTTTCTCTCTCTCTTTCCAGTAGTAGGATTGCTGGATCATCAGGTAGTTTTATTTTTAACTTTTTTGAGGACCCTCCATACTGTTCTCCACAGCGGCTACACCAGTTTGCATTCCCACCAACAGTGCACGAGGGTTCCAGTTGCTCCACATCCTCGCCAGCACTTGTCTTTTGTCTTTTTTGGAAATCGCCATCCCGACAAGTGTGAGGTGATAAGTCCTTACGGTTTTGATCTGCATTTCCTTGACGCTTCCTCCTGTATTTCTCACGGCTTTTGTTTATGTATTTAGCCCACTATATGCTTTGGTAGATGTGGAGTTTATGACGGTTACATCTTCTTTGTAAATTATGCTTTTCATAATCACACAATACCTTCTTTATCCGTTTAGTTCCTCCACTGGACAATTCCTTATCTGACAGCAAATGTCATACTTTCTGTTACTACCATTGGTTTTGGTTTTTAGCTTGCATTGCTTGGTATCTTTGCTTTCCCTTTCATTTTCAACTCTTCTTCATCATTTTAAGCATTTTAAGTGTTCTTCTTACATGCAGTATTTAGCTGGGGTTTGCTTTTTCTTTTTTTAACCCAGTCTTACGGTCTCTGTCCCTGACGGAGGGATCCAGTCTGTCTCCGTTCAGTGTAAGGGTTGACATCCGTGACTTTCTCCTTCCTCATTCCTTCACATCTGGTGTCGATATTTCATACTGTGGTCTCTGTTTTCCCCAGCTTTGCTGCTTTGATCAGGTTGCCGTTTATCACCCTCTCCTCCTTTGCTCATTTCTGATCCCTCCCATTTCTGTTCCACAAATGGTTACCTTCCCTTCCCTGCTCCCAGAATTAGAAACATTTTCTTTGCTATTTTAGTGTATTCCTCTACCCTCTTTACCACCAAGATGCATTATTTCCATAACGAGATCGCCCTATTTCCCATCTCTCTGCCCTTACCCACAACCCATAAGATGTGACCTTTGCAGTGTTTGCCCTCCTCGCTCCCCACTCCTGGTTTGAGTTGTTTGGGGGATTTAGTTCTCGGCTGTTGTTAGTCCTTGTGTTTGCCCTGGGTGCAGAAATCCTGACTTAGCCTTTCCATCGCACGCACGGTCACGTAGAGGTTCTCACCTTGCGGTCGCTGCGCACCACACAGCAGTTTGCTTTGTCTCAGGCCTGCTCTGTCATTCCTTATTGCCCCCTTAGACGGGTGTGTAGGTGGGGGACTGGCTGCTTCCGGTCATACTCAGGTGTCCTCCATGGTTCTCAGGACGAGGGAGCTTTTGCTGCTGTGGTCATTGTCTCTTGTTCTGTGGGTGTCACTGCCCTGTCCTCTCGTTTCCTGGCACAGACAAGGTATCGCCTGTAACTCCCTTTGCCTGGGGTCAGGAACGCAGTGGGCCTCAGCTGCAGGCTCAGGTCTTCCTACGTGAGGGATGTTTTCTCCCGTTGTTTAGTTACTCAGCCTCCTTTCCTTGTTCCTTTTAGTCCTGGAGTCCCTGTTACTTCATGTGTATCTTACTTTGCTCCTTTGTGTCTCTCGTCCTTTTCCTCATGATTTCTTTCTCCTTACAGTGCCTGTGTTTATTTAAGATTGCTTTGCTGCATTTTTGAGGCTACTAGTTTGGGGGTTTTCAGAGTGAACTTCTTTCCTTTCAGCTGCTGAATGATTTTGGGAGGGAATTTTATTTTCTCTCTCAGTTTTATTGTCGTTGGTTTCGTGCTGTGCCATATCCTGGGACCCTGTAGACTTTCCCCTGTGGCCCCGGCGGAGCCCAGGGGTCTCCTTGCACTCGGGGGCCCTCAGGCTTGGCACCTGCTGGTTCCCACGGGTCTGGACGTGGGGCCTGGCACCTCCGGGGTGCCCCCCCGCTCCCCGCCCCCTGCTGGCTGCGGGTCGGGGCCCAGTGGGCTGGCCTGCATGGTTTCCTTTAACCCCGAGACCCTGTGGGGCGCATGTGAGCCTGGACCTGTCTCCAGTAGGGACTCTCTAGCCGCGAGGGTGTACCAGCCACGTGCCTGGTGGGCAGACGGGGCTCACGTCCACATGCCTGGTGTTCAGCCCACGTCACTTCCGCCGCTCCCCCCCCAGGACCGCAGGGGCAGCCACTAAGCCGGAAGGGGACTTGCACTTCCTGCCTGTCACCTGTGATCTCTGACCTGTGACCTGGCAGGGTTGTGGGGGCAGGGGCAGGTCGCGGCCACCCTGCGTTTCTGTGCCCCGCTCAGGGCGTTTCTTGAAGGGTGGGCACTAAGCAGGACGGGCGTAGGCGTTATACTGACTAACGAGCCCCCGTCTGGGCCCAGCGCGAAGACACCCAGGTGTTTGTGGGCACCCGCGTTGTCCTAGCCAGTGCTCACTTCTGTTGCCGTCCACAGTCCATTTCATTCTCGACTGCCCCTAGTTTGAGCTTGAAGATACGTATTTTTCTTGAAATAAGCCTTTTCGTCATAAAGAATATATGCCGATTAAGTTAACCCTGAAAACTGCACAAAGCCAAAAGGAGTCCCGGTGCCTCCTGTTCCCCCAAAGCTACGATTCTGGGTGTGACGTGTGTTCACTTTTACTGTGAACTGCCTTGAGCACCGTAAAAGAGAGCTGACGTGAGCACACACGAGCTGCTTGCTGGGACCCAGGCCCTGGCGGAGGTGGCCAGGCAGCTACGCGAGGGCAGCAGCCCTGAGGCCCTTCTCGTGGCCGGGCTTGGCTGGCCTCACGGGGCTTGTCCAGCAGGGAGTGTCTGTGGAGGATGTGCTTCTTGTCTCACTGGCCATGGGTATGCACAAAGCGCTTTGCTTGAGTCAAGTGTTCTCTTGACCTCCCTCCCCAGAGCGGGCCTGTGTGTGTTCACGGGTGTGTGCCTGTGTGAATCTGAGTGTCTTTGGGGGCGTGGTCAGCGTCCGGGTATGCTGTGTAGCACGTGTGTGCGACTCTGTTTCTAAATGGCTGTGTCTGGGGTTTCTGAGCCTGTGGGTTCACAGGGTGGGTCCGTGATGGCTCTGCCTGTGTGGAGGCTTCTCCTCGTCTTGTCTGTACTGGGTGCCTGTCCTTCTTCTGTGCCCCAGGGCTGCCTTTGAGGAGGGAGCTGGCTGTGGCCTTGGCATTTTGCAACCCTTGGCAAGGCTGGCCAAGAGGTTTCATTGAATGAGCCAGCCCCGAATAATCGGCACTGGCTGGTGTCTGGCCGTGGATGGGGAGGCTGTGTCCCGGCGTAGCCAGAGGCTGTGACGGAGCAGTGTCTTCCGTGGGTGTGGGTGGGGTGTGGCGTCTAGAGCCAGGAATTCCCCGTTAGGGCCCTGCACGCCCCCCCCACCCCGCCACAGGGCGGACTGGCGGATGCTCCTCGGGGCCGCCCCTCCTGTGTCTGGGGCACAGCGTCTCCCTGCCCGACGCAGCTGCTCAGCTTGTAGACAGGTCTCTCCAGAGGCCTCGGCCCGTCTTCACTTAGTGAATCCAAGAGAACAGCAGCCTGATAATGCTCTCTGTGCTGTTGAGTCTGGGTGTGGACACGCACACGAACCTGTGCGACTGCGCCCTCCACCACCGAACACACACCACACGCTCCTTCCCCCGGGACTGACGGCCAGGCCAGGGGTTCAGAGCCAGCTGGGTTTGCGCACTCGGAGGCACTCAGACCTTCCAAGCACCCACAAAGTCTGCTCACTCGTTTGTCAAGTGGCGCGAGGGGTTGGGTGGTGCAGAGGGTGGCCCTGTCCCCCCAGAGCTCAGTGTGGCCTGGGGGTTGGGCACGAAACAGGCCGTCAAGCCGACAGAGTGCAGCTGTATAAGGGTGCGATCGTTGGGGGGCTGGAGACCTGTTAGCTGGAGCCTAAAGAAGGGCGGTATTGACGCCGGGACGTGGAGCCGAGAAGGAGCCAGTGAGCGCAGCGCTTCTCGGTGGGGCAGAGCAGAGGTGCCGCAGGCGTGGAAGTGACGGTGGGGGCAGTGGGTTTGGCTGGTGAGTCGGGGCAGAGGAGCGGCTTCCTTGGCAAACTTTCTGGAGACTGAGCTTTGGGGGCTCTGTGGACCACACTTAGCTCTGCAGCTGGGCCAGATGCAAAGGAGCTTGGCTGTGTTCCAGTAAAACTCCTTGAAAAGCAGGTGGTCACTGGCTGCTGACCCCTGAGCTACAGAGGGAGGGAGGGCCAGAAGTAGCTGGGCTCCCCAGGCCGCACAGAGGAGTGGGAATGGCCTGGGGGCATCGGGGCTGCCCTCCTGGACGGTGGCCGGGGGCGCTGGGGACGAGAGGCCGGTTCCAATCCAGATCTCGCACCCAGAGCCCAGCAGCCATGGAGACCGCCGAGGCCCTGGGTTCCCTCGTTTGTGAAGCGGGGGTGGGGGCAGGACCCACTGCAGGGGACACGGGTCATTAGCACAATGTCGGTAACGGGTCTGACACACTTGGTGCCTGTGGAAAACTGGGGCCTCGAGCTGGGCCAGGGCTGGGGGCAAGCGTCCTTGTGGGGTGGGGGATGCACGTCCTCGAGGACGCATCTGCGAGGCTCACAGTGGCGGAGGGCGAGCGTGTCCTGGGGCCCACCTGTGCCCCACGTCCTCAGCGAGCCCCTGTTCCCGCAGGGTCCCCCTTTGCCCGAGCCAGCCTCAAGAGCGGGAAGACGGAGAGCTCGTCGTACTTCCGCAGGAAGGAGAAGATGTTCCGGTTCTTCATCCGGCGTCTGGTGAAGGCGCAGAGCTTCTACTGGGTGGTGCTGTGCGTGGTGGCCCTGAACACGCTGTGCGTGGCCATGGTGCACTACAACCAGCCCCAGCGGCTCACCACGGCGCTGTGTACGTAGCCGGGCCCGGGCCTGCCCCTGCCCCCACCCCTGCCCCCGCCCCGCCTCCACCATCCTCTTCTGAACCGCTTCCGGTCCACAACCTGTTGCTTTGGGATGCCCTGGGCAGGACCCCTGTGCTGACTAAAGTGCTCCAGGGGCCTCTGCTGGGGGCCTGGCTGTGCCCCAGGCCTGGGCTCCCCATCCCACGGCTCCCCAACAACCTGGGCCCTGCTTCCAGGGAGCCTGGCTGATCTGGTCAGACCCCCATCCATCAGGGTAGTGAGGGGTCTGGGGCACCAGGGTCATGCGTCCTCCGCCACAAGGGCTTTAGACCCAGGGAACGAGGGAGCCATCTGCCCTGGACCCTGAGGAGAGAGAGTCCCGGCTCCCAGGGGCCTCCCCGGGCTCTTCTGCTTGTTTCTGCTTGTCTTCTTGGTTGGTGGAATCTGGGTGTGTCCATGACCAGGGATGCCTTGCAGGCCTGTGTCCATGAGCCTCAGGCCAGGCCTGGGCTCTGGGTCATGAGCTGTCCGGGCCTGGCTACAGCTCCAAGGAGGCGCAGGGCTGCGGCCCTCCGCAGGGGCCGGGCTGGCCCTCACCCCGGCCTGCAGGCGCCGCTGAAGGCCTTGCTTTGTCTTGCCTCACAAGCTCCGGAGACACACGAAGGGCGTCTGTGCCGCGGTCAGTGCTCCCTCCTCCCCTCCCCGGCCAGCCACCCTCACCCTGCTCGTGTCCGCGGCTGATCTGGAAACAGCCTGTTCCGGGTCCCCACAAGCGCCTCCCTCTCTGCTCGGAACCCTGCGCGCCTGCAGTCACCCAGGTGGCCAAGAGAGCCATTCTCCAGAGAAGAACCGTCCTGGCTCCCAGTTCTGGCCCCTGACGGGCCAGCCACACTGAGCCTGGGCAGCTCCAACTGGGAGCCTGGGAAGCTGCTGAAGGGTTCTCGTGGGCGGTGGACAGACGGCTCCACGGGCTGCTTGAAAGTGTGGGTGGGGAGGCCTGTGTTGGGGGTGGGACTCCAGGCTACTGTTTCCCAAACTTCGATTGAAATCTTTGCTGGTATAATGGGAAAGGGCAAAGAGAAAGCGGAAGCAAGAGGAGCCCAGGGAGCTTCTAGCAGCCAGGCTGGCTCCCCGGGAGAGGGCGGGTTACGGCACGGAGGGTGCATGTGGAACTGGTGCCCTGGCCCCTGAATCATGTGTCCTGGACCCATGGTTTGGTGGCTTGGGACGTGGTTTGGGACCGAATTCAGTGTCTGCCTTGAGTCCTCAGGCTGCAGTCTCCCCGCCCTTGGGGGCTGGGTAGGGCCCGGGGAGACAGGGCTTCCTCCTACCTCGGCGAATGGTGCGCCTGCTCCCTGGGGCCTCCTAACCAGGCCTTTTCTTCCCTCGGAAGAAGCCGGTGGCGCCCAGTCAGTCTTGTGGTTTCTCCTTGTTTCCTGGGCATTCACCAGCTGAGCGGGCTGGGGGTGAGCCGCATGGCCTGGTCGCTTGTCTGACATGCAGGAGCGCGAGGCTGGAAGTGTCCAGGTGCTGGGCCAGGCCGTAGGTATCCCTGGCGGGGAATCTGCCCCCTCACTGCCTTGCCTTCTCTGTGGTTTTCTGGAGACCCCTGAGCTCATCAGCATATTCCCCAGGGAAAGTGGCTGGAGGGAGGGGTGGGTCTGTGCTGCCTCTGGACACCTCTGCTCAGTGCCCTTGACAGCTGGGCTGAGACAGGCTGACCCAGCAAGGGAGGGCAGACCTTGCAGGAGGCAGACGCGGAGGTAGGGACTCCCCTTCTGGACCAGCTTCCTCAGAGCTCGCCATGGGACTCTGGCCTGAGGCTGGCCGCCCCGCAGAGAGCGGGCACTGTGCACCTCACTGTCTGCCCACCAAGCACACCGCTCCCAGTGCACCAAGGACCCCGAGACTGAGGCTTGGATGGTGAAGGAGGGATGGGAGTGGGTGCTGTCATCCCGTGAACCCCCAGGCCTCACGGAATGGACCTGACCACCCGCCCCTCTGTCCCCCCACAGCACGCTGTCCTCTTGTTATAATGCACACACTGTTTAACCTACCTGCTCCACTCCCCTAGCCTGTAATCTTCTGGGGAGAGGGGTCAGCTGTCTCCCGGGCCAGCTCAGAGTAGTGCCAGGGCCTGCTAGTTGAATGAATGCTTTAGGGATGAATGTGTGAGCACCCTTTCTCGGCCTCTGAGGGGAGGCTGAGCACGTGAAGCTGAGGGTCTCCTCCTTGGGAGAGAGAAGGAGCAGGCAGGGTGCCGGGGGCTCCGCTCCAGGTGTCCCCTGTCTCTGAAAGCCTCCCCTTCGGCGGTTCCTGTGCTCGTTCATGCACAGGGCTCCCGCTTTGGTCTCCCGGGAGCAAGGTGGACACCCAGGCAGTGTCAGCTCCAAGGTCTGCCGTGTGTGTGGCTGGGGTGCCTGTCTCCGTGGTCTCTCCTCCCAGGACCTGAGCTCCTCTCGTGGGGCCTCGAGGGGCAGGGGCCCCGGGGCTTGTGTTCCCACTGCACTCGGGCACGGCTTTCCTGCGGTTCCTCCAGGAGGGCTGCTGTGCCGTCTCATTACTCGTCCCGTGCTCGGCTCGGGTGCCCTGGTGGTGGTTTTGACTGGTTTCAGAGGCCAGGCAGGAGCTGGTTGTCCACGTACTCCGGTCCCCTGCCCGAGACCTTCCAGGGCCGTATGAACCATCACGTGTGTGTCTGTGAGGCACGGTGCCCAGTGGGCAGTGGAACTGATGTCTCTGCTTGTTCAGGGCCTCGGCTGCCGCAGACCTGCCCAGTGAGGCCGCTGCCTCTGTGCAGCACTTGGTGGAGAGCTGTGGGGGAGAGTAGATTTCGGGGTGTGCAGGGAGGGCAGGAAGTGTGTGGCCCCCTCTTCTACCATCTGTTTTAGCATGAGCTGCTTGAGGTCAAGTCTCCCAACCAGCCTGGATGCCAGAGGCCCTGGGGAGGCTGGGTGGGCAACTGCCTGGTGACTGGACCCCTCGGTCCCTGGCCCTGCATGGTGGGCTCTGCCCTTGGTGCTGAGCTGCTTCCCTGGCTCCCGTGCCCTGGGGTCAGAGGCTCACTGTCTGAAATGATAGGTGGATTCCAGCTTTGGGATGAGGGTCAAAGCCAGTGGCCTTGTTCTGACGTCTGGCATTCCTGTTTGGCGGCCCGTCAGTGGCCGAGCTCGGCTGCGTCTCCTGCGGTCTGTGGCCTCGTACCGCTTTTGGACTGTTTCCTCTTGCTCTGACCCTGCCTTATGCTCAGGCTGGGTTAGGGGTAGTGTCTGTGTGCCCTGGATTCGCAGCAGGTCCAGTGCAGCCTCCCTTCAGTCCTGCCAGCCGGGTCAGCACTGCCGTGGTGGGATCCCTGGGCTGAGGCAGGCCCTGCTCACCACTGCTGCCTGCCCGGCCCAGCCTGCGGGAAGCGCAAGGCACCCCACCCACAGGGGTCTCTGTATGACTCCCCAAGGCCCCCAGCAAGCATGGGTGCCTCCTGGGAGACTCGTACGGCGGAGGCCTGGGGGTGTCAGGTGGTAGGGACACTCGCCTTTAGGGGGGCAAGCCTGCAAACATGGTTAAAACCCAACACGGTGCTGCTGTGCGTCCAGGGGGGTCAGGAGGGCCTCGCAGAGGGACGGGGCTTCTGGCCGGGTGGCTGAGGGATTCCAGCTGCCCTCAGTGCACGGAGCGCGGGATGAGACTGACGGCAGAAGTCTCACTCACGGGGGTTGGGCGCCCTCTGCCTGACGCCTGGGTCCTCCCCTGGGAGATTTGGGCCCTTGACCCAGAACTCACTCTTGAGCCCAGTCCTGGGAGGCTGCCTCTGTGTCCCAAGGCACTGGGCACTCAGCTTTCAAGCTGGAAGGAGCACCTCTCTGCGACACTCCCTGTCTGTTCGCGGGCTGTTCTGTCCTGGGCTGAGGTTGGAGCTCAGGGGCCACCGGCCAGGCCTGGAAGCCCCACCCTGGGTCGGCCCAGAGGTCTGGTGTCCTCCTGGCTGGGCTGGAGCCAGGTGGGAGGAGACACGAGCTAATCCCCCTCTTCTCCGGCTTCTCCTAGACTTTGCAGAGTTTGTTTTCCTGGGTCTCTTCCTCACAGAGATGTCCCTGAAGATGTACGGCCTGGGGCCCAGGAGCTACTTCCGGTCCTCCTTCAACTGCTTCGATTTTGGGGTGAGTGGGCCACCTCGTCAGGGACGCCTGCTGCGGGTCCAGACGGGTCCGCGGTGTCCTGGCCGGAGAGCGCACGCACCCCTCCCACGATGCCGTACCCAGTGTGAGCTGGGGCCTGTGGAGCAGAGCCCGGGGGCTGGGGGACTGTGATCCCCTGTGGGTCAGAAAGGCTGCTGGCAGGCAGGGGAGGCCTGTCCTGGTCGGGCCCTGACTGGTGCGGGTGCCGGCCATGGGCAGCCTCCTTCCCTCCCTGGCCCTGTCTGTAGAGTCTCAAGATCAGCTTAAGGCTCTGTGGCCTCCTCCGCAGCTGGTGTGCGATCTTCTAAATGTCTGCTGTCCCGTGGAGGCTCAAGGGGGCTGTGGTCCTGACCCCTTCATTCCTGTGGGTCTGGTCCTGGGCACATGCAGCAGCGCTTCCTGGGGAGGCCGGAGGGGAGCAGTGGGCCTGGGTCCCTTCACCAGCCTCTGCAGGTGAGGGAGGCCTGGAAGGCAGGTGTTTCTGAGGCTCACTGTGGACGAGCACAGGGCCGGGCAGCGAAGAGTCCCCTTCCCTGGGCTCCTCCCTGTGTTGAGCCCAGAGCCTGGGGATGGGGTGCTGTTGACATCTGTCCAGAGGCTGAGTTCTGACCTGGTGGAGGCTCTGAGTGAGAAGCGGCCGTGCCACAGCCCGAGGAGGCCTTGCACCTCTGCAGACTTCTCAGAAGCCAGGGAGGAGGCTGGACCTAGGTCGAAGGAAAGCTTCGACTTGGGATGCAGTTTAACGTTACCTTTTCCTCTCTGCGCTGCAGTGCAGCTGACAGACAGTGTCTACGACTTCGTCAGATTTTCACGACGACTCACTTCATGCATGAATAACTGGAGACGTTGTGTGATGGGCCCAGGACTGCCCAGCTAGTGTGCAGGGGAGTCAGTGCTGGAGCCCGGGGTGGGCGTCGTACACCCGCCATGCTGCCTGAGCTCTGGGCGGGGGAAGGCGGTGGCTGCCCAGGTGCTCTCTGGGACACGTGGGCACCTGCGATTTTCATAGATGGTTGTGGGGAAGCCAACTCTTCTACTCCTTTGCCTTCTTGGTTACAAAGAAAGCTGTGGTGCGCATAGGCAGAGGGGACCCAAAGAGGGGAGGAGACTTCAGAGTGACGGTGTGTGGGAACCAGCTAGGCCCCAGGGCAGGGGAATAATTTGCACACAAGCCAACAAAGTTTTCCAAAACGTAGCAGCTTAAAACAAGCATCTATTATCTCAGTTTCTAAGGGTCAGGAATCCAGGCGTGGCTTTACAGGGTGCCTGTGGCCCGGGATCTCTCACACGTTTACGGCCCAGCTGAGGCCGGGGACGCAGTCATCCCAAGGCTTGATCAGGACTGGAGGGTTGCGTTCAGGCTCCTCACAGGCTGTTGATCGGACTCGCTCGTGGTTGGTGACTGGCCCCGCTTCCCGGTCCCGTGGCCTCTCCACAGGCTGCTTGCGTGTCCTCACCGTGTGGCAGCTCGTGATGCGAGTACCTGACAGAGGCTACAGAAACCAGTCTCAGGAGAGACAGCCGTCAGCCTTGCTGTTGTATTAACATTCGTCAGGAAGGAGTCGCCGGGCCCGCCCGCTTTTCATGGGGAGAATGCTACCCAGGGATGCGAACACCAGGAGGCAGGGGTCCTTGGGGGCCGTCCCGGAGGCTGACTACCACAGTCCGCTGATCCAGTGTAAGATACACTCACCTCCACTCCCAGTTCCCCAGACGCATCCCATCACAGCATCAGCTCAGCGCCCCGAATCTCGTCATCCAAATCGGACCCAGGTCTGGTTGAGGCTCCTACAGTTTCTTTCAATCTTAGAGCCGTGAACTGAGAGAGGCGAGCTATCCACGCCCACACCCAGCATACAGCAGTGGGACGGGCAGGGGTAGCTGCTTTAGACCTTCCCGTTCAAAACGGGGCCAGTGGGATGCACAGGAGGGCCGGCTGGACTGCAGCCAGCACGTGTTGGGAAAGCCCTGACTCGTTCTGGGGCCTGGGAGCCCTTGGGCTCTTGGTTTTACCCGAGTCCCCTCTCCTTTCCGTGGAAGGTAGGGCACGTTCGAGTCCCCTCTCCTTTCCGTGGAAGGTAGCGAACGTTTGAGTCCCCTCTCCTTTCCGTGGAAGGTAGGGAACGTTCGAGTCCCCTCTCCTTTCCGTGGAAGGTAGCGAACGTTCGAGTCCTCCTTTCCGTGGAAGGTAGGGAACGTTCGAGTCCCCTCTCCTTTCTGTGGAAGGTAGGGAACGTTCGAGTCCCCTTCCCTTTCTGTGGAAGGTAGTGAACGTTCGAGTCCCCTCCCCTTTCCGTGGAAGGTAGGGAACGTTTCCAGCTGAGGTCTTCTTGGCCTGCTTCCTGCTTAGTAGAATTGTGGGATCCAAAGGCCTCATTTTGGTTTTTGCATTTCAACCCAAGCTGGTGATATTTTTGTGCATGTAAGCCTTTTAAGAGCATTGTGGGTGTGTTGTGAGTCTTCCCAGAGTTCAGTCCATTGGACGGAAGCCGTGCCCACAGCTCTCTTAGAGACGAGCCCTTCTCGGACTGAGCTGCTGCTGAGATGACCAAGGTCAAAACCCTCCCACGTCCTGGAGGACTTACTGCTTCGAGAGGCCCATTTGCGAGGCTCACCCTACATCCCTGGAAGGGCCGGAAAGCAGCTGAATATGCTCGGAGGCCCCGCCTTTGATCTTTTGGGATCTTCCATACCAGCCCCCACTGTGCCCTTGGCTTCATTTTTAGACCGTGCCATTTCTTTTTTTTTTTGACCGTGCCATTTCTTAACGTTGGCCTTATTTGGTCTCTGGAGAGGCTGAGCATCTCCCAAACTAGCGAGTTGTGGCTTCTCTTCACTTAGCAGCGCTTCCTCAGTTCCCGCCCTCCTCCCGCCTTGGGCCGCGAGCAGCAGGAGACGCCAGGCAGCAGCGCCGTGTGCACTCTGCTTGGACGGTGCCTCCACCAGCGCCCCAGCGCAGGAGGCACGTCTCCGCTGCCCCTGCGGCTGCAGCGTGGCTCTCTGCCCGCTCCCCTCCTTAGTTTCCTGTGCCCCCTCACTCTCCTGCAGGCCTCACGGGCGGCACCTGCAGCGTCCAGAGTCCTCGGAAGAGTGTGTTCAGGGCGCCTCAGGCCGTTGCCGCTGTGCTGCTTGGGGCCGCCCCCCGACTCCAGAGCCGCCCCGCGCCTGGGCACCTTAGTTCAGCAGCACGGCACTCCTGCTTCTGAAGTCGGTATTGGTCTTTCCTTCTGGGTAACAAGTTACTCCAGGGCTTAGTGGCTTAAGGCAGCACATGTCCTCTCATTCTGGTGGGGGAGCAGTCAGGCTGTGACTCTCGGGTCCCTCCTGAGGTTCAGTCCTCGCAGCCCCCGCTGGGCTGGAGAGCTCCCTTCCAAGCTTGTGCTCGTGACTGTTGACAGACCTCAGAGAGTCATCCTCCGGCCTCACTCTGGCGGCTGCTGGCAGGCTCGGGCCTGGTCACGTGGGCCTCTGCACAGGCTGCCCCAGTGTCCTCACAACACGGCAGCCGTGGCCCAAGAGAGGGCCGAGAGCACGAAGGCCAAAGCCTCAGGCTTCTTGTAACTGTTCTCAGAGGTGCCAGCCCGTCACGTTTGTTGTGTTCTGTTTGCTGGAAGTGGGTCACTAGGTCCAGCCCACCCTCCAGGGGACGGGGGTGTACAAGGGGGGAACCCGAAGCAGTGGGGATCGTGGGGGCCGTCCTGAGAGGCCACCTACATTGTGAACCAATGCGAGCAAATTCTGAGGCTTACTGGGAAATAGGAGACATGTTGGAAGCGTGACAGTGAGAAGAAAGCAGATTCCGAAAACAGCAGGCCTCGGCCCCGGGCACGATCTGGGTGCTGCGTGACGCTAGGACGAACTGGTGGTGACTTTCGGGGGACCAAGGACAGACGCGGCAAGCTCGCTCCATTCGCTGCCCTGCTAGGGCCGTAGTGGGTGCAGCAGCTGTGAGCAGGTCTGAACTCCCCTGAATGGTGTGCTTGCGTCCAGGGGGGGAAACGTGCAGCGGAAGGCTGTGCATTTGGGGCGATGCGGAGCTGGTGCAGCCAGCAGACCAGACACGCAGGGTCGTGGACCAGTGCTAACCTGCAGGGACCGCTGCCCTGGCATAGTCGCTGTTGGTCAGGCTTGGTGAGGTGTTGATGTCGAGCTGATCCTGTTTGCAGCTGGTATGAAGTGGGTGGAAGTGACTGAAACCTTGGGCGATGTGTGAGCCCAGCGAAGCGAAAGGGAATTTAAGAGATCGACGTTCGGCAGTGGAGTTCTCCCCACCAGCTGCAGAAGCCAGCTTAGAGGGAGTGAGAATTAGCCACACGCACGAAGGGCACACGAGCGCTCACGCTGACCGCAAGCCCGGGTGTGCCCCCTGAGGTGCAGTGGCCAGGGAGGGAATTCTGTTTGGCTGCCGTTGGGTGAGGGGTCCGCTGTGCTTCAGCCCTGCTGCTCTGTCCTTTCTGAGTCCCTCACGTGAGACACTGATGCTGAGGAGTGGCTGGAAGGAGGGGCAGGCCTCTTGCCCGCAAGTCCCGGTCCACCAACGTGGACGGCGCCCGGGATGACTGTTGGTGAAACAAGGGGCAGACTTGCGCCCATCTATCCTTGGTGGTACTTGCTGGCTCCCGCTGTTCGGAAGAAGACAAGATGCAGTTATGAACTGGAGCATCTCAGAGGTGGCAGGACCAGAAAGGGGATGTTACAAGGAAGCAGAGTCTGCTGGTCTGTGTGAGAGCAGCGTAACAGTCAAAGCTGTCGCAGGCGGTTTGCCGGCCCCAGAGGGTCACCGGGCTGTGATGGAGCACAGGGGAGGCATCAGACGAGGAGGCTTAAGGATCTGCCGGGAAAGCTGCAGCCCCACTCGCCCCTGTTCTGTGTCCTCCTGGTGTGTCTGGGTGGGGGAAGGGCGGACACCGTCTGCAGCTCCCGGAGGCGGCGGGGGCTCAGTGTGAGGCCTGTGCCTCCTGTCGCCTTCTGTGGCTTGAGCTGCAGACAGGGTGGGCGGGGCAGATGCTTACGGAGAGAAGCAGCCGCACGCGCGCCCCAGGCTGACTCATCTCCGTTGCAGGTCATCGTGGGGAGCATCTTCGAAGTGGTCTGGGCGGCCATCAAGCCAGGAACCTCCTTTGGGATCAGTGTGCTGCGGGCACTCCGGCTGCTGAGAATCTTCAAAGTCACGAAGTATGTCATCCGTGCGCTTTGGGGGGCGGGGGCGCAGGCAGCGTGGGAGCCAAGCCAACACGGGTGCCGCTCCTGGGGACGGGCGGCGTGGGTCTTGCCCTCAGCGGCCTGGAATCTCTTTCTGTGGGTTTTAACTGGTTAAAAACAGAAGACAGTCACAAAGCAGCCCACGCGAGCGAGGGCCACAGCCCACAGGACTTCGTGTCAGCCCTGGGAGCCCGTCTACCTGCAGCGCCATGTCCAGCCTCAGCACTGCCCCAGCACTTCTGGTTCTTTCGTTAGCTCGTTCCCCACGGTTTCACCCTGTCTCCTCTCTTGAAATCAGCAAGCCCACCTTTCAACCTCAAAGGATGACTCTGCTCCATAGTTGATGGAGAAAACAGAGGTTATCAGATGGATGTTTTCCCATCGTCCCGCCCCTAAGTCTGCTCACCTACCCTGCAGCCCTGCTCCCGTCCTGGCCCGACGGGACTCTGACCTTCTGACCTGAACTCCCAGGCCTGCCTTTTCCACTCGGGGCCGACGCTGCCTGGCCTGTCCTCGGTGGCAGGACGGGGCCCTGACCGTGTATTCAGTTTCATCCCACTTGGCTCTTCACAGCCTGGAAGCAGGTCTCTCCTTTTTGCCCACAAGGAGGCTGAGGCCCAGGCCAGAATGCGACGCATTCTCCCCCCTCTCCGCCAGACCAGCAGTGCTGGGAAGGGGGGCCGCCCTTGTCCACAGCTGTCTCGGCAGCAGCAGAGCTGCCCTCACCCCAACGGCCATGGCCGTAGGACTCCACAGTGGTACCCGGGCCACCCCGAGGCTCTGAGGCTCCCACCCCGCGAGCGGCTGGAGCGCGTGGCCCGCACGTGCCTGGCACCGGCCTCCGCGCAGTGTCCCTGGTGGCCCGGGTCACGACGACTGTGGGACGGTCCAGACCGAGCCTGCGCAGGTGGCTTGGGCTCCAGGCCCCCGCTGCAGTGACCGACACAGCCTCCCGGTCTTTCTATTCTGTTTTAAATCCAAACCTGAGGCCATTCGAGGTCAGGACAGTTTAACCGTGGAGGAGCTTTGACAGGAGTTCGGTCGGCTTGGCCCACAAAGGCTGCTGGGTGCCCTGCGCCGCCTGCCCTCCGTGCACTGCTGCTTCTGCGGGAGAAGGGGCTTCAGGAGGTGACGGCCGGTGCTGCCCTCTCCTTGGTCGTGGGCCTGGCATCTTAGCAGCTCCGTTTCCTCCTGGAAAGCGGGTGGCCCCTGTCCTGACGTGGGCTGACCTACACCCCGCCCATCCCACGACAAGGCTGTTTGGAGTCTTCCAGCCCATCTCTCGTTAACTCTCACCTACCTAGTCAGAGAGCCTGAGGAGGATGGTGGGCCTCTGTGAAGCAGCCTTGGGGACAAGGGCCCAGGGATGCCCCAGGCAGATGCCCTAGTCCAGGGCAGAGGACAGCAAGTGCAAAGGCACAGAGGCATGTGGTACGTCCGCCTGGGCTCTCCTGGGGGTCGCAGCTGGAGGGGACTCATCACCCAGCGAGCCAGCAGCAGCTAGACCGTGGGCAGACCTCAGGGGGCCTGTGAGCCAGGGGGGGCCAGCTGAATGAGAGGGACAGAGTCTCGGACCCCCAGGAGCGTTGGAGGGGTGGGGTGGAAGGGAGTCGAGGCTGGAGGGCTGCTCCGCACTGTGTGGCCCTGGCCCTCTGGGAGGGGCCGCTGGGGTCAGCGTCTGCACCCTGTGCCCGGCCTGCTCAGTGGAGGCTCTTTGCGCGGGGACCCGTGTGCTGAGGGTGGCGATGCTGATGGATGCTCCAGTGCAGCCCCTTCTCCTGTGTGGCCGTGGCCCTCGCTTCCCGCGAGTTGGCCTGAGGGGGTTGAGGGGCGAAGGCAGCGTGGTCGTGGGGGTGGGGAGACTGGGGAGCAGGTGTAGGAGGCGACCGTGAGCTCAGCGCTGGACCCTCGGCGTCTGCTGTCCCCGTGGGCAGGGGGCGGGCGCGGCCCAGACGGGTGGTCTGGACCCCTGAGAAAGTACTCTCCACACACCGAGCGTGGGCCCTCAGGCCAGCAGGCGCCGGAAGCCGCAGGCACGTGCGTCCGTGTCCGGGCGTCCAGGCGCTCGGACCAGGCCTCTCCCCGCAGGTACTGGAGCTCCCTGCGGAACCTGGTGGTGTCGCTGCTCAACTCCATGAAGTCGATCATCAGCCTGCTCTTCCTGCTCTTCCTCTTCATCGTGGTCTTTGCCCTGCTGGGCATGCAGCTCTTCGGGGGACAGTAAGTGAGGCCGGGCCCCGGACGCAGCGCTCAGAGGGGATGGTGCCGCCCCGGGCGTGTCCTCCGCTCCCCTCCCTGAGGGTCCTGAGGGGGGCCGCTGGCACCAGACGCAGCCCGTCCAGCCCGATGGAGCTGCCTCTGTCCAAGACCCTTGTTCCTCTCAGGTTCAACTTTCAGGACGAGACTCCGACGACCAACTTCGACACCTTCCCCGCCGCCATCCTCACGGTCTTCCAGGTAAGGCTCCCGCTCCTGGCTCACTTCTGGCGTGTGGGGCCCCCCTGCCGGGTGTGCAGGGCACGCAGCCTGCCTTCCCCGTCAGCCCCTCCCGCCTCTGACGTGCGCCCCCCGCAATGGGACCAGGTCGGGAAGGAGCTGCCCGAGGAACAGGTGGACACCTTGGGAGGCCCTGGCTTCAGGTCGCCACTTACCTCTCTGCCCCCGAGACCTGGAACCGATCACAGCTGTCGTCCATTGAGAGTCGAGTGGAAAGCACTCCCCAGGCTTCTCCCTCCAATGGCTTGGCCCCAGCGGCCCCTGTTTCCCTTTGTGTCTGGAAACATGCCGCCCGCAGCCCCTGGGGACGCTGAGCCTTGGTTCCCTCTTGAGGACTCTCCCGGTTCAGCGCTGTCCCCCTCACAGAGCTGTGGCCCCTGGGTGCCCCACAACTGGCCTCACCAATGAGCACCCTCCGCCACACCTGAGGCCAAGCAGGACAGGTGGGGGCAGCGGGGGTGCCCACAGTGGCACTTAGGGAAGCCCACAGGCTGCAGGTGCTCTGGCCAGGGCCCTGCCTGGCTCCTGGCCTCTGGGGCCGCTGGCGCTGCCCCCCAGCCAGCGCTGGAGCCACAATGAGTGTGTGGAGAGGGGACCTTTGGGGCTCCTCTCTCAAAGGAAGGCGTCTTTCCAGCCGACCGTTTGAACCACACTAGACGCTTGCTGACAGAGTGACTCAGTCTCGTGATGTCACCCGCAAGCCCCCCTCCCGACCTGGGTGGAGCAGAGCAGCTCTTTTCCCAGAGGCTCGTCTGCTCCCGGCCTGGCAGGACTCCAGACCCCGGGCTGTCATCGTTCTGTTTCCTGTCCGACCCCACTTTCGGGTCCTGTGGCTTCGCCGTCCTCTGAGCTTTAAGGATTGGGTTGCCCGTCAGCGTACTACCCTTCGCACCTTCTCCATCAGAAGCATCGCCAATGGCTTGACTGACTCAGAGCTGGGGAAGCGTCCAGCCCTTTAAGGAGGCCGAGAGAGTGGTCGAGGCTGGAGGAGGCTGAGAGGACAGCCAGGACAGACTGTTGGCCCAGCCAGGCCTGTGACGCCCACAGGATGATGCTGGGTCGAGGGCCTGAGACCCAGGCCGGAGCCCCTGCTTCTGAATGGGGTTGGAGAGGGCACAGGGAGGCATGTGACCGGGGGAGAACAGCTTGAACTCTGCTCCTGGTGAAGCTGCCTGACCACGCCCACAGGTGGAGGGTGAGCCGCTCCTAAGAAACTGAAGCAGCACACTAATGCAGGCGCCGTTAACCCTCAGAGGGTGAAGGAAGAACTCAGCACAAAATCACGGAAGAAAGCCACCTCGGAACTGAGGATCTCCGGTTAATGCGAAAGATAACTAAGTAACATTCCTGGAAGTAAAAGACACAGCTGCTTAAATAAAAAGTGGAGGCTGAACCGCACACTGACATGATCCTCTCAAGAACGCGGAGGACCTGAGCCAGCTGCGGCTCAGAGGTGGAGAGGGAGGGTGCCAGCGATGTTCCAGAAAGAGCTGAGACCTGGACACAGCCTGATACAGAGAAAATCTTGAAATCTGTTCTAGAAAGACAGAGCTCCTGCAAAAGAATGCCAGTCTGATGGCAGGCCTCTCGTGGCAATGATGCCAGAAGGTCTGGGAAAAGCAACTTTAAAGTATTGGAGGACAGTCCCTGTTGGCCTGGAATTCCCACTCAGAGAGCCGCAATTCGAGGTGGAAGAAAGACACACCCAGACACAGATTCTGAGAGTCACAGCCAACTGCTGAAAGCGCTGCAGACACGGATATGGATACGTCTAGGAAAGAGGATAAATGGGGAGAAAAGGTGCATTAACCCAAGGAGAAGCAGAAAAGCTGGGCTATTTCAGAAACTGAATAATTTCTGAATACTAATTGAATAATTGAAAAATCTACCTGCCCTGGAGACATGCTGACAGATTTACAAGTGAATTCTGCTGCGTATTTCAGAAAGGTTACTCCAATTTTATACAGACGACTCCAGGGAAGTTAAAGAGGAAACACCCACCCTTTTATGAGACTGGAATAACCTTGATATGAAAACACTAGACAAGGGCAATATAAGAGAACGAACATATAGATTACTGTCACACACAGAGAGACAAAACGTCCTGAGGGAAGTACTGGATGTACTTAAAGATCATCTTTATGATCAACTTGAATTTATCCTAGAAACGCAAGATGATTTAACATTAGAAGGTCTATTAATGTAATTCATCTTAACAGATTAAAGAAGGAAAAAAAACACATATGATCAGAGAAAACATTTGAACTCTAGCAAAAGCACAGCCAAGCACCAGAGAGAGAGGCAGATGAAACAAGACTGACAAATTGTGTTGATTTTTGAAGCTGGGTGATGAGTACGTAGGGATATATTACACTCTCCACTTTGTATGTTTGAAACTGTCCATCGTGAATTTTTTTTTCTAAAAGAAAATCCCATGATAAAACCCAACACTCCTTGCAAATAAAAACCCTTAGCAGATTATGCTAGTATGAGTGGTCTTAGTGCAGTAGAATAAGAAAAAAATGAAATAACATTTCTCAGGATTGCCAAGGAAGGAAGAAAAATGTCATTATTTACAGATGAAATACTTATATACACAGAACACTCATGTTGTCACTGCAGATGGACAGTTTGGTTATCCATAGACAAAAACGTGGAGTTGGATTTCTACCCTGTAGCAGATTTGCATATCAGTTCAGATGAATTAAGACGTAAATGTGAAGAGCGACTCTGAAATTTTAGAACATACAGGAGAGTAATGTTACTGACTGAAAGCAGGGAAAGCCTTCTTAAGGAAGATGTAGAAAAGCACAGATCATAAAGGAAAGCTTTGACAGATTTGGCTATTGAAATACAAATTTCTGTGCATCGAAAGACACCATAAAAAGGTCAAACGAACAAGCCACAGGCTGGGAGTAGATGTTTCCACAGCATTAGCTAATAACCGACAGCCAGAATAAATTACCAGTAACCAGAATAAATCGAAGACTTCCGCAAATCAAAAAGGAAAGACAAATAATGCAGCAGGAAAGGGCAAAGTGTACAAGCAAGGAACTCGGGACAGGAAATCGGGCTGATGAGTAGACCTGTAAAAACCGTCATCTGTTTACGCATAGTCAGGAAATGCAAAGTAAACCCACCTGTCAGTTTAGTTGAAATTAAGAAATCTAACAGTCTCAAGTTTTAGAGAAGATGTGGAGAAATGAGGATTCCTTTATGCTGTTGGTGGGTTGGTAGAACCACTTTGGAAAGTAATGTCACAGTATCTAACCCACCGGAACTCACACAACAGCAGTTGCTGTTGTGGGTATGTGCTCTGGAAGGTCCCTGGCCTAATGCACAGAGAGAGACCTGCGAGACCATCACAGCAGCATCGTGTATGATGGCAAAACGCTGGAAACCTCTTGATTGTTCATCATCAGGAGAGTGGATAAGGAGGGTGTGTTCCGTCTGTGCAGCAAGACCGTGAATGACCTAGAATTAACTATATTAACATGGATCACAAGCAATGTTAAGCTAAAAAAAAAAGAAAAGCAAGATTTGAAATAATACAAGGCATATGATACTATTTAACTAATTTTTTAAATTGAAGTATAGTTGATTTACAATGTTGTGTTAATTTCTGCTGTACAACAAAGTGATTCAGTTATACATATATACATTCTTTTTCCATTATTTTCCATTATGGTTTAGCATATGATACTAAATATTTAATAAGGATGGAAACATCTTGTTTCAAAACACATTGCATAACAAGTTTATGGTATATATGGAAGTACAGGTGTAAAAGCTTGCATGGGAATGTTTAACACCAAATTCAGGGTGAGGTGGGCTTGGGGAGAGGAGGAATGAGACTGGAGATTTCTATTGAGGGAACTTCAGCTACATTTTAAAGTTTTATTTCTTAAGCTGGGTAATGGGTACACAGAGCTTTAAATATTATTCATTGTACCTTTCTGAATGTTTGAAATAGTACATAATTTAAAATTAAATGGGTACAAAAAGATAAACTAAGTAGACCTTAACCAAAAGAAAGCTGGTGTAATGTTAACATCAGCCAAAATAGAAGTGAAAAAGAAGGTGAGAAAAAAGCTGTTGTAAAAATCAGGAAGTACATTACGTAACAATAAAAGGAAGATGCAGCCTAACGGCACGGCTCAAAAAGCATACCAAGCAAAACCCGACAGAATTACAGGGAGAAATCAACAGTCCACCCTCTTTTAAGAGACTTATACTTCTATCAGACTGAAGGATGAAGCTGATCAGGGATTAGACAGGATGTAAAAGAACTCACGAGCACAGCAGTCACAAATCGGCTGGTGCGCACAGAACTTGCCGATTGATAGTGAATAAAATAGCCATTATTTGGGGCACAAGGAGCATTCACAGGAACCGATCACTTGTTAAGTCGCTCCGGAAATTTCTACAAGCATTAAAGAATCGCAGTCCTACAGCGCACATTCTTTTTTTTTTAAATTTATTTATGTTGTTTATTTTTCTTTGGCTGTGTTGGGTCTTTGTTGCTTTGCGCGGGCTTTCTCTAGTTGCAGCGAGCAGGGCTACTCTTCGTTAAGGTGCGCAGGCTTCTCATTGCGGAGCACAGGCTCTAGGCACGTGGGCTTCAGTAGTTGTGGCTCGCAGGCTCTAGAGCACAGGCTCAGTAATTGTGGCACACGGGCTTAGTTGCTCTGCAGCATGTGGGATCTTCCGGGACCAGGGATCGAACCCGTGTCCCCTGCACTGGCAGGCAGATTCCGAACCACTGAACCACCAGGGAAGTCCAGCACATTCTTGATATTACTTAAATAAATAGAAAGCACTAGTAAACAGTCACTTAAGATCTTCCCCATATTTGAAAGCTGAGGGTTTGGGTTGAAGAAGACAGCACAGTGGGCAGTACAGAATATTTAGGACTGAACAATAATTAGCAAAGCTCATAGGATGAGTCTGAAGCAATACTTAGAGGAAAACTTAGAGTCTTAAAAGCAATTATCAAGATAAGAGAATGACTAAAAATAAATAAGTTAAGTGCTCATCTTAAAAATCTAGAAAAAAGAATAATAGAGTAAACCAAAGAGAAATTGAAAGCAGGAAAAAATGATGCTAAGAGCAGACATTAATGAAACATAAAACTAAAATACCAAGATAACAAAATCCTAAAAAGCTCGTTCTCAATAAGGCTAATAAAGTAGATAACTTTATAGCAAGACTGATCAAGAAAAAAAGCACAAATAAAAAGTATAGCCCAATGCAACAAACTAGTGAATGTAATGAAAAAGAAGCAGACTCACAGATAAAGAGAATAAAAGAGTGGTTACCAGTGGGGAAAGGGGAGAGGGGAGGGGCAATATAGGGGTAAGAGGTACAAACTATTACGTATAAAATAAGCTACAAGGATATATTGTACAATATAGGGAATATAGACATATTTTATAATAACTATAAATGGCATATAACCTTTAAAAATTGTGAATCACTGTATTGTACACCTGTAACTTACATAATATTGTACATCAACTATGCTTCAATAAAAAAATATTTTTTTTGAAAGTATAGCCTAAAAGGGAGGTATAACTACAGAAAAGGGAGATATTTTTAAAATCCCAAAAGAATATTATGGCAACTTTATGCCAATAGGTTTGAAAACTTAGATGAAATGTGCACTTCTATAGGAAAACATCAGTTACTTAAATCAGCTCAAGAAGAAAAAAGAACTGGATAATTTTATAACCATTAGAGAAATGGAATCCCTAGTCAAAGCTCTCTTCCTGCCTTCCTGCCTCCTGCGCAGGGCTCGGGGAGTTATAAGGTGAGTTTTGCCACGCCTTTAAGGAACAGATGATAATGGACTCAGACACTTCCAGAGAAGGGAAGAAACCATTTCATGGGGCTAGGACAACCTTGACCCCACAGCCCGGCAAAGACAGTGTAAGGAAAGCAAAATGCAGACAGAGCGTGAGCTCTGTCAACCAAAAAAACTGCAGGAGGCTGCAAATAAGAAGTGTTTTGGGGTCTTAAGAACTGCAATTCAAGAGACACAGATTTGGCTAAAATAAAAAGAGTGTCCTGGGGAAGAGAAAGAGTCGGGGGCTTGTAAGACAAAAGCCTCGAGGCTGCGCTCTGACCCAAGAAGGGAAATGTGTGTCCTTCAAGGATGGCTGTCACCAGGCATTGTAGGGTAGGTGTCTGATAAGTGTCTTGAGTTTCTGACACGTTCTGGAGGCCTGCATTAGGACATGAAGTGGTCAAAGGTCAGATTCCATCCAGGCCTCCTGGCTCCACTTCAGAGAGCTCTCTCCTTCCACAGATCTGTGAGGCGGGGGCTTTGTTTTGTCGACTGAGGATGTCAAGTGCCTGAAGACTGCCTGACGCACAGCAGGCAGGCACTCTAAGTGTTCGCTCAGCGAAGGTAGATGCAAATAGTCTGAAATAGAATACTCAAAAATCAAATCCAATTGTGTATAAAATAGAACCTCATGGCTAAACTGTGCTTATCTCAGTAATACAATAATTTGTCAATGTAATTTCCTGATCTCTACAGTTTAAAAGAGAAAAATAAGCATATCAATAGATTTAGAAAGATAGAATATTGATATGATGATGAAAAACATGTTATACAAAGAACTTAAAATACTGAGGACTCAAAAAAAAAAAAAAAAAAACCGAAAACAAACCCACAGCTAGTTGGGTGATAGCTAATATGGATGGGTTTCTTTTTTTTTTTTTTTTCTTTTTTTTGCGGTACGCGGGCCTCTCACTGTTGTGGCCTCTCCCGTTGCGGAGCACAGGCTCAGCGGCCATGGCTCCTGGGCCCAGCCGCTCCATGGCATGTGGGATCTACCCAGACCGGGGCACGAACCCGTGTCCCCTGCATCGGCAGGCAGACTCTCAACCACTGTGCCACCAGGGAAGCCCAGGTTTCTTTTCTGAAGAGATAGAAATAAAATTCTAAATTCAGAATTCTAAATTGTGAATTTAGAATTCAGTTCTAAAATTGACTGTGGTAATGGTTGCACATATTTGTGAATATACTAAAAACCATTGAATTATACACTTTAAGTGACTGAATTATATGGTATGTTAATTATATCTCAGTAAAGCTATTATTTTACAAAGACCGTTGCAAACATCACAGATAAAAGATTGTTGGTGGTTAATTTTATGTCAACTTGACTGGACCATGGGGTGTCTAGATTAAGCATTATTTCTGGGTGTGTCTATGAAGGTGTTTCTGGATGAGACGAGCATTTGAATTGGTGGACTGAGAAAGCAGATGTGGAAGCCTCACCCAGTCCACCGAAGGCCTGAGTAGAATAAAAGGGCTGAGTTAAGGGAGAGTCCACTCTCGCTGCCCGACCATCTTTGAGCTGGGACATCCGTCTTCTCTTGTCTTTGGACTCAGAGTTGGGCTGAAACTTACACCATTGTCTCTCCTTGTCAGCTGTGGGTCTTGGGACTTATTCTCCATGACCACAAGATATACCCAGACATCTCCCCTTGGTTCTGTTTCGCTGGAGAACCCAGACTAATACAGATTGAAAGCATAACTAAGGATATCTAGTATTCAGGCAGTTGAAGTCAATGTAATAAGGAAAAGAAAGAGGCAGAAGAACTGGAAAGGAATAGACAAAATAGTTATTATTTACAAATGGTGTGATTATTTACATAGAAAACTCAAGAGAATCAATTAGAAATAATAAGAGAATTCATTGTTGCTGAACACAAGGTCAACATAGGAAAAATAAAGCTTTTCTATATAACAGTATCATTCAATTAGAATATTCAATTAAAATGAAAGACTTCATTTACAGTAGTAACAAAAGCTATGTTATCCAGAAATAAATCCACAAAAAGTATGCAAGACTTTTATAGGTGAAATTATAAATTGTCATTAAAAGACCGAAAGAACTGAATACCTATGTTTATAAATGGGACGCCTTACTGTGGTAAAGGGATCCGTTCTCCCTAATTTAATTTGGGATCCAAATCCCAACAGAACTGCTCTTGGAATTCAGCATATTGATTCTGTGGCAGAGTAAATGGCCAAGGACAGCCAGGACAGTTCAAGAAGGAGTGATGTGCCCCTCCATATATCAAGACTTATTATAAAGCTACAGTAATGAAGATTGTGAGGTATAAAGACAAAGTATCAAAGAACAGACTAGAAAGCCCAGAAACATGCCCAAGCCTATGTAGGAAGTTGCTCATATGAAAAAGATGGCATTTTAAATCAATGGGAGTGGGATGGGATGGTCAAAAAACGAGCCTTCTGTGTGGAAGAAAGGAGGTCTTCATCCTCAGGTGTGCACAGAGCAGTAACCACAAGCCCTAGTTGGGTTAGAGACCTAAAAGCCAAACTTTAAAATGATTTGAAGAAATAGAGGAAAATTATTTATGACCTTGGGACGGAGAGAGATTTCTTAAGGGGCAAAAAGCAGAAACCATGAAGGAAAAGACGGACACATTTGACTTCATTCAACCTCTTTACAACACAAACAATTAGTTAGAGGCAGAAAGGAGACCAGCAGAAGGTTTCTCCAGTAGACATTGCAGATAGAGAGCTAGCATATACAAGAATACTTAAGGAAGTCAGTAAGAAAAGGTGAGTTACCAGAAATCCAAGCCAAAGTGTTGAAAAGGCCACAGAAAGGAGATCTGAGCAGCCACTGGATACAAGAGAAGATGTCCCGCCTGCCTGGCTCTTCCGTTCACCGCTCCGGCCGGGAGCTATCAAAGGGTGTGACTGCGCTCAGTTTGGGACGAGGCTGTGAGGAAGACACAGCCTGCGTTGCTGGTGGGACTGTAATTTGGGATAAACACTTTGGAAATGTCTAGTGAAGTCAAAGGCGCGCAGAACCTACGATCCAGCAGAACCAGTTCTAGACAAACTTCATGTTCACAGTGGGACACACCGGCAAAAACCTCGGAAGTGCCTGTTGGGGAAGATGGGTGAGTACATGGAAGGGATCTATGCAGCACCTTCCACGAACAGTGGGTTTATACGTGTCCACCTGGGTAAACATCAAAGATAAAAGAGTGAATGAACGGAATGATGATGTAGTCTGACACCTGCCCGTGCATGTTTAAAACACACATGGTGTATTTCATTTATAGGCGTGTGTGTGTGTTGTGTGGTGTAGGACCACAAAGACTGGAGGCCCCCCAGGTTCACGGTTGGGGTTGCCTGTCGAGGGTGATCGTGGGCAGTGGGACCTGATGCGAATATGACAAAATGTTAGCAATTTCCATTCTGAGTGGCAGACACACGAGTGTCTGTTACCTTATCCCCTTGTACTTTCCCCCAAATACAAGTGAAAAAGAGGCACGTGTTTCCCGATGGGGCAAGGACGGCATTTAGCCGCCCTCGTGGCCTGGACCCCCTGGGCCAGGGGAGGCAGGAACCTGGAGGGTCAGAGGCCCTGTAGCTGTTGTCTGGCCGTGAGCAGCTTGTGCCCCTCTGTGAGCCTCAGTTTCCTCACTGGTGCGGCAGTGACCAGGCAGCTCTGGGACGTGGGAAGCTCTGCCATGGTCTCCTTGCCTTTGCTCGCCTTTCTCTCCTGCCGGGAGCTCCCTTTCCATTCTTGGCAGAAACCCAGAGCATATTCATCTTATAAGGCCTGACCCAGCCCAGCAGCCATGTCCTTCTGGAAGTGTCTCTGGAGGCTCCTGGGCCACCTTAACCATCATCCAAGGACCTGTGTGTGCGCACTCGTGTGCCCATGGGCTTGTGGGTGCGGGCGTGCGTGTGAACGCGGGTGGCTGTGGGGACATGCCCCGGCTGCTCTCCCGCCCTCTGCAGATCCTGACTGGGGAGGACTGGAACGCGGTGATGTATCATGGGATCGAATCACAAGGTGGAGTCAGCAAAGGCATGTTCTCGTCAGTTTACTTCATTGTCCTGACGCTGTTTGGAAACTGTATCCTTCTGCCGTCTGGGCAAGGGGGTCGGTGCTTCCTGGGCCTGCTCTCCCCTCCCTCCCCAGGAGGACGGAGCCGGTGGTCAGCACGAATGAACGTGTGGGCGGCTTTCCCATGGAGGGTGGGCCGTGATGCACCCCTGCCCAGGAGCAGCTTGAGTTACAGATGCAGCCTGAGGTCGGCCCCGGGGGCCGAGGAAAGCGTGAGCAGCGCGTGGGGTGTCCCGAGGCAAGTAGCGAGGTCAGCGGCGGGAAGACGTGGGCTTTGAGCCTGAGGGCAGCCATCTGTTTTGTTTTCACTTTAATTTAATTCAGTAATTAAGTTGTGGCACTGGGCTTTTGAACAAACCTTCGCCCATGGAAACGCCCACCTGCAGAGAAGCGCAAAGGAAGGTCTTGTGCGGAGGATACTCCTCAGGCTTGTGTTTCAGGGTCTGGGCTGTGGGACTCTGGGGCGTCAGGGCAAGCCCAGCCAGGGAGGCTGTGCCTCAGGCCCCCTGACCGCGCCACCCAGTTGGAGTGTGTCTCTGTGGCTGGGCCCCAAGGGGCATGGCCTTTGTCCTGCTCTCGGCGTAGCGAGGCCTCTGCGGGTGCCCACAGCTGTGGGCAGTGCCAGGAGGCAGCAGCCGACCTTGGCGTCCTGTCCCGTGGGCCCCACTGGGGCCCTGAGCAGGCCTGTCTATGAGGCACTGCCCTGGGATGTGGGTCCCCCCTGAGTCCCAGGGCACCTCCTTGCCAGACAGGGGGCCTGACGCACAGGGGTCACGCAGAGCCGACGGCTGCTTGAGCGTGGCACTGGCCCAGAGCCGCTGGGATAACATGGGGCCCAGGGCTGTCCCTGGGCGTCTGTCCCAGGACCAGAAGGGTCTGAGACGGTTCGGCTGTCACAGCTGAGGGGAAGGGGCAGCTGGCATTGAGCGGGCAGCGGACACCCCATGGCAAAGGACTGCCTACCCATCGTCAGTGTGCAGGGCACTAGGTGACCGGGAGGGCACCCACCCGCGGGGGCCAGGGGTGGGCCTGGGTCTGCGGGGGCGGCACAGGGGTGAGGCACCGAGGGCTGGGGCTGGGGCAGGGGCGGGGGCAGCACAGGGAGGACAGTGCTGCCTGGCGCTGAGGCTGGGAGAGGCGGCTCCGTTGACGGGAAACCTGAGGGGGTTCAGGTCAGCGGCAGCGCGAGGGCCTGAGCCTGCAGAGTTCAGATGGGCGGGGCAGGGCCGTTGGGCCCCCTGACCCTGGGACCCTGGGGAGTTACCTGCCCTCTGTGGCCTTTGTTTCCTCATTTCTGACTGGGGGCCATAGGAGCACCTTGTCGCGGCTCCCAGGGGGCACAGTGGGAGGACGCTTTGGAGGCAGCGGCCTCCTGCTGGGCACTCCCGTGGCATCTGCCATCCGCACGTTGCCCCTGCTGCTCTGGAGGAGGGGCACCTCGAGGGAGGGGTCCCAGGACTCGGCTTTGGTAAAGGAAGGTGGGAACGAAGCCAGGCATGTGTCCGTGAGCCTTGCCAGGAAGCTGGTCCGTCGGTCTCTGCTCGTGGGACCCAAAGGTGCCAGAGCCCACATGCAGCCTGGGTGCTTGTTGGGAGAGGTGGGGGCAGAGCGGGCAGCCCTTGTGCCCTCCTAGGAGGCAAAGGCAGATCAATCCAACACAGTGCGAGCTTCCGGCCTGGAGCGTCGGCCCTGAAGAGGGGGCGGGGGGAAGGGGTGGTGTGGGCCTTCGAGGAGGCTGGGCGATGTGACATTGCATGAAGGAGGCCGGGTGGAGGCCAGGGGCCCGCAGGACCCAGCGGCTGGGCTGGGCTGTGTCTGGGGCTGATGGGCTGACAGGGCTGGAGGGCCGGGGGTGGGGGCATGTGGACACCAAGGAAGGAGGCCGAGGCTGCTCAGGCCCTGGGGAGATGGGCCCCTGTGTTGTCAGAGGGAGCCGTGGTCTGAGCCTGGGAGAGGCTGTGCGTCGGAGGGCTTCCCTTCCTTAGCTGGAGCCGACCAGACACTCTGCTGAACGTCTTCCTGGCCATCGCCGTGGACAACCTTGCCAACGCGCAGGAACTGACCAAGGTGTGTAGGTAGGGACCCACCTGCAGCCTAGGTATGGGTGGGGTGGGGGGGTCAATCCGTGTCGCTCTGGATGCTGCTGCAGAGCCATGAGGAGGGCCAGGACCTGGGTTAAGGGCCATGTGACTGCTGTCCAGGGGTGTTTCCTCCAGGCCCTGGACAGGCAGGGCTGTGGGGAACGGCACCGAGGAGGTAGGCAGAAAGAGCATGCTGGGAAGGCAGATGGGCATGAGGGCAGCTCCTGGGAAGCCGAGACCTGGGAAGGATGACCGGAAAGGCAGGAGGAGGTTTGGGAGCTGGTGGTGGATGACATGGCGCAGACCAGAGAGGGGCCTGGAAGATGGGGGCCGGGCTGCCCTGGTCTCTGTGTGGAGTGGGCTGTGTCCTCTCAGGAGCGAGACGCATCAGGAGGTGGGCCTAGGGGCCATCCAGTCTGAAGACCCCAGAGGGCACTGAGGGACCCTTGTGGTCATTCCCGGTGTGGCTGGCTGAGCTCAGGCTGGCGCTGGGCAGCGCGGTCCTGAGTCGGGCCAGGCTGGCGCTGGGGGAGCAGTCGGTGCCTGTTCTCAGCAAGCCCGTGTCCCGGCAGGACAGCTTTCTTTCCAGGCTGTGCCCAGTGGGAGTCGTCTAACAGTCATGTCTCATCCTTGAGCCTGGTGGGGGACATGATTACACGTGTCTCCCCTGTGGTTTCCCTCCAGATGGCACAACCCCCTGCCTGCTTACCGTCACCCTCTCTGCCCTGGACAGTGCAGGCAGCCCGCTGTTTCAGCCTCAGGCTGGCGCTTTGACAAGCCCGGCTCCCGGTGCAGAGGGCACTCCTGCTGGTCAGGGGCTCTGAGCAGGCTCTGCTCCTTGCAGGCATGCGCATACTTGCTCTGTACGCCGGGCCTATGCCTGTGCGCGCACCTGTGTGTGTGGGTGTCTGTGCGCTCGCGCCCGCCGTCCCTGACAGCCTCCCACTTGTGTAGCACCCACTCCAGTCTAGCACATCCTAAGACTCTTAACACTGTCCCCGTTCTGGGGCTTGACTCGGGCCTTCCCTGAGGAAGGCAGGCGACAGAGATGCAGGTGTGCCACAGTGGTCCTGACAGCGCGTGCTGTACAGGTGCCCTGCTGCCCCACCCGGCTCCCTGCGAGGAGTGCTCCACGGGGGCGGCCCGTGCAGTGTGCCTCCCCCCACCCCCTAGCTGGGCTGGGGCAGTGCCTGTGGGTCTGGACTCCTCCCTTCTTCTGGGTGCTGGCTTCTGAGGATTGAGAATCCCACTGGCGTGCCCATTTCTGTTGTTAGCCAGTTCCTAGACTGAACCTTGCCATTCAGGAGGGGCTGGAGAATGGCCCAAGGCTCTGGCTGGGGGGACCCGTGCAAGCACAGAGCACTTCTTGGGGTCAGGATTTACAGGACCACGTGAGCTAGGGGTGCCCAGCAGCATCGTCCTGGGCTGGGTGAGCTTGAGTTCAAAGCTCTCACTGCCCCTTCAAGGCTGTCAGTGGATGAGGACATACTGACAGGCCATGTCCTTGGGGCCCTGTATCCATGCACAGACCATAGGTGGTGGCCCCTTTGGGCAAACTGCCCTAATTCAGGAATTTCCTTGCTTTGGGAGTTGGGGCAGGTGGACGCCTGTCTGTGTCAGGCTATGGGGCATTCCTGGGCTGGCCAAGAGACCAAAGGGCGGACACTCCCTCCTTTACAGTCCCACAAATATATGGTAGCATCATTTATTTTGAAGTGGAAATAAACTCACATCGAGTTTGTTTGTAGAACACCAGTTGGAGTGATTTGAGGGCCGTAAACCAGGATGGAGCCCATAGCTCCATAGCTGGAGGAACGACGTCTCTAGGGTGTTCTGGTGGGTCTAGCTCTGCCTCCCCTCTGAGGCCTGAAGTTTGAATGTCTCTTCTCTATGGTGGGAAATCTTCAGACAGCTAATAGGGGGCTTAGTTGCCATTGCTATGCCTCTAAAAGCAGATTCAAGGACATTTGGGGACATGTTGGGAATGCCAGCTCCCAGGGGAGCCAGGTGGGCCCGGGATTGGGGTAATGGGGGATATAAGGGTGGGCCCAGTGATCTAGCTGGACGGCACAGAGACTGGTTTCCCTCCCAGGGCTGGTAGACTCAGCCTAGAGCTGTTTATCTAGATCTGAGGAGCAGATCATGTTGGTTTTGCCTAGTGACATGGGGTCAGGGCTGGAGGGTCTGTCTGGATGTCCACTCTCTTCCCATGGAGAGGGCAGAGGCAGGGTGGGGTGTCTGCGCAGGTGCGCACACATGAGCACATGCTATCCCGGGTGGCAGAGAGCCGTGGGGCTCCTCTCCAGGAACTCAGTGGGGAAGGGAACACAGGGCCAGGCATGGTCACAGGTAGACAGATGTGACCCGATGAGTGCAGGTGGAAAAGCTCAAAGGCTGCAAGGTGGCCCTGCTAGGCACATTGCTGGTGATGGTTCGTGTGGGTGGTGCAGGGCAGGGACCCAGGCTCAGGGTGGGGCGCCTGCCCCTCGCCCTGGCTCAGCACCCTGGGGAAGAGGTGACTTCGTTCTAGTGTGACAAGTGCTCTGGGTGGCGGGGGAGCAGGTGGGAATAAAGGAGGGGTGGGTTTGCATTTTGATGGAATAAAGACTAACACGTGGAAATGGGTCCCTGGGGCTGGAGCTCTGGAGTGGGGCTGTCAGCTGTGAGCGCCCTGGGAAGGGGTGCTGACACAGAAACCCTGGGGACTCTTGCCTGCAGAGGTGGGCGTAGCAGGGCGGTCTGGAGCGTGGGTGGGTCGTGCTAAGGCAGGAGCTGGCTTCCTGGCCCCACTGGCTCAGGAGGCAGGAAGGACTCAGAGGCTCCAGGCGGAAGAGCTGGTGGCATCGGAGTGGACACAGCACTCTCAGGCTAGCTACACATTTCTGTCTGTCCAAACAGGACGAAGAGGAGATGGAAGAAGCAGCCAACCAGAAGCTTGCTCTGCAAAAGGCCAAAGAAGTGGCTGAAGTCAGCCCCATGTCTGCCGCCAACATCTCCATCGCCGCGTAAGGCTCTCGGAGTGGGTTGTGGGCGGTGGCGGGAGCAGAGTCCAGCTCCCCCGGGGCCTCCTCAGGGGCCCTCGCCTTGGCTGGAGCTGTTAGGATACAGCCCCTTCCCAGGAGCTGAGATGCGGGGGAATGGCACTCCTCCCCTGCGGGGACTTTTGAGCAAAGAGACCACCAAGTAAAGCCTCCCCGCTTCTCCCCGCCGGGGTGAGAGCGCGGTGTGGCAACGCCGTGGGTGGGAGTGACCACGGAAGGCGGCCCTCTGGACAGTCTTGGGCAGCGCCAGGGACTTGGTGTGTCTGACTTACACACCGCCTTTCAGAAGTGTGTTTTGTGAGCCGGAAGATTCAAGGGGTTACTTCAGCAGCCCAAGAGACTTAATGCAGTTTCCAATAGTATCGAGTTCTGGTGTTGGGACAGGGGTCGAGAGGAGGCCTCTCTGATGAGCAGAGGTGCAGGCGGGGCTGAGACTTCCGTCGGGGACTCTGGTCACCCAGAGCCAGCTGAGAGTGCTGCTGGGGGCGTTATGGATTTCCGAGTTGGGACAGAACGCCCCAGCGCAGGGCCAAAAGCCACGGTGGGCTGGGGGGCGTTGGCCCCCGGGGAAGGAGGCAGGAAAGTCCGGCTCAATCCCGGTCACTGGGTGGCCGTGAGAGAGCACAGAGGGGCTCGGGGCCAGGCTGAGCCCACCCTGGAGCTGCTGCCCCTGCCTTCTGCCCCACTCGCCAGCCCCCGCCACGGCTCCCACTCCCCACGCTGCTCCACAGGCCCCCGCTCTGCACCTGCTTCCCTCTCCCGTGCACACTGCGCTGCGTGGTCGGAGCACCTCAGGCCCGTCTGTGGTGACACAGGCACTGGTGCCGAGAGTGCGCTGGCACGTGGATGCGTTTGTGGGAGTGGGAGTGTGTACACGCACGGGTGAGGGTGCATCTTAGCAGCCCCATTCTCACCTGGACGCCACAGGGCCATGGCCTGTTTTCTAGGAAGATGTTTGCAGAGGACCTGTCTCTAAGGTGAGCAGAAAGTGCTGGCCTTTGGGGGAGAAGAAGTAAAGGGAGGTCCCAGGCCCTGGGAGTCCAGGCAGGGGTGCAGGGGGCCTGCAAGGAGCCAGGCAGGACACAGCCGCCATCATTCCACAGCTGCTGGGGGCTCAGTGCCCAGTTGTTCTGGAGTTCTGTTGTCTGGCCAATGCACCTGCTCGGTCTGCTTGGTCCTGGGCTTGCTGTGACCCGGTTACTTCCTGAGCTGCATAAGCTGCTGGCGGTCTGTGTAGAGGACGTGGTTGGTGACTGACCCATTTATTCACGTGGGCCCTGTGGAGTTTCTGTGTAACTTTTGCCTTCCTGCTGTTCCGGAGGGGAGCGTGGTGTCCTGTGTCCCCTGCTGCTGCCCAGGGCTGCCCATTCCTTGGGGATGTGCGGCAGGGTGTCCACTCCCACCTGGGCTGGGACCTAAGCGGGGAGGGGCCCTCAGCACAGCCACGGGGAGCTTGTCAGGACACCCGAGAGGGAAGTCTGGATGTCCTTCCTCTCCCTCCGCCCCCGTCCCCGTTTGGGACGCTGCTGTGCAGGAAGCAGGCTGTAGACCTGCATCCCCGGGGCCTGGGGGACACTTGGCGCTCTCCCTCACAGCAGGCCCCGAGCTCGGTGCTGGCCCATCCCTGTCACGGTCAAGCTGGGGTATGTCCAGGCATTGGCCCTTGCGTCCCCCTCTTGGGCCAGCTGTGGGTCCCGCGGCCTCCCCCGGGACGTGGCTTTGGGCCTTGTCCTCGGCCCATCTCTGCTGCACGCACAGTGGGTCTGACATGACTCCAGGTGCGGAGGGTGGGGGCGTGAGGACCACTGGGCGTGCTTGTTTGCTCTCCTCCGTCGAGCTGAGGCATCTGCGGGCAGGAGCTGTGCTCCAGCGCCTGTCTGTCCCGTCTGCCCCAACGGTTCCCTGCTCTGCTGGCAGCAGCAGCCTCTCCGTGTTCACTTCTCTGCCCGAGCCTCTGAGGTGGTGGGAGAGGCTCCGAGGGACCCCGCTCTGACCTGCTCCCGCAGCGGTGCTGTGTGGTCTGTGAGACGGGGGCCTGGTCGAGACGTGCGCTGTGAGCCTCTGATGCTCAGGGCGCCTTTCGTGTCCGTGGTGTTTGAGCGGCTCCATGGGCCGTGCCCGAGCGGACGGAGGCTCTGTGACGGACCCTCCTCAGGGGGGCACCCGAGTCCCCTAGAGCCACTGGGGGTCCAGTGTCCTTGGCCTCAGGGGCCAGTCCCCTCAGCCTCCTGGGAGGGAAGGACACTCAGGCTGATGCGGCCCTTCTGGCTCTCGGCTGTGTCGGCCTCGACGTCACTGGGACTCACAAGTGCCGGTGCCCACGGCCGCTCCCACACGCGGGTTCACACTCACACACGCTTGCTCTGATCCTTGTTCTCTTAATGTTCACAGTCTCAGTCACACTCACACCAGCTCACATGCTCATTCACAAGCTCACACACTCAGCCATGCACACCGCTTTGCTCACTCTCTTGTACACACATGCCTGTATGCACGCAGGGCAGCCAGGCAGGTGAACTGCTTTGAGCTCCTCACAAATGCTTGTCGACTCAACCTTGAGAAGGCAGCGCTGGGGACCCACCTGGTCCTCCCCTGGGAGGGAAATGACTGTAAAGAGACCTATGGTTTCTCTCTATTGATTTTGGAAAAGCTTCCAGAAAGACACTTCCAGAAGGACACTCAAGGGAAGGTGGGCTGGTGGTAGAACCTGTTTGCCCCTGGGGAGGCTGGTGGTGACCTGGTGGCAGTGCCTTAGAGCCTGGGGAGCTGAGGGGCCAGGGCGGCTTGGGGGCTGAGCACGGTGTTCAGGAAGCAGGGCCCAGGTGAGGCCGGAGGCAGGTAGGCCCCTGTGTCAGCCGGCTCTGCTCCGCCTCGAAGGCCAGGGGACCACAGGGGTGAGCCCTCCCTGGCGCCCGGGGAGTGGGGCGCCAGGTCCGGCGGGGGCGAGGGGGCTGATCACAATGGCAGACGAGTGGTACCCGCTCCTTCCAGCCCCACTGCCCTTCCAGGGCAGTGTGCACAGAGCTGCGCTGGACGGCCCAAGATGGCGCTCTTGCCCTCGGCCGTGGGGGTCACTGCTCCGTGGGCGCTCCTTCTCTCTCATCTTCTCTTTTACCCCGAGGTCTCGGCCGGCCTCACTCTGATAGAAGCATCCCTGGCCTCCTGCCTGGATGCACGCTGCAGCCTGTGCCCTGACCCGGCGCGGCTCACGCCGTTCTAGCCTCTCGTAGAGCTCTCTGGTGTTCTCACTTTTGTTCTGTTTTGTTTTTTGCATGTGCAGTTTTGTAGAGCAAACTCGAGGTACTGTATCTCGCAGCTCATCTGTCTCCAGCGTAACCTCACCGTGAGTCTCTCTGCCGCAATTTCCATCTATGGCTTCGTGATAACTACACGCCAACGCCTTCTGTCCGCCCCTAACTCTGCTTCCCACTTCAAGTCATTCGCTTCAGGGGGCAGCTCCAGGCCCACATCCTGCAGCCTGGCCGGGGACGGCGGGCACACTTCCTGACGCCCTCACGTCCTGCTCGTGGGATCAGGCTCTCTGGGCTCAGCCCCTCCTCCTCTCCCTCCTGGTCTCTGTCCTCCTGCCTGTCTGTCCCTGTGCTGTCACTCTGGTGTCTTGAGCAGATCTACTTCTCCTGAGGTGACCACCACTGGGTGCCACTGGGGCTGTCTCCTTGTGGCTCCCATGAGGTAGAGGATTGCTCAGGGGCTCAGGACATCCGTGGGGTCCTCCTGCCCCACCCTGCCTTGCTGGGGAGGGGGTGTCTCTGGGACCCTTAGGAAGTCTTGTTCTCGCGAGAGCAGAGCTTCTGCCTGCTCGTGAGGCTTCCGGAGACCCGCCAAAGCCTGAGGTAGAGCCGTAGAAACCCCAGGGTGGCCCTGCTGGGGGTGACACCAGTCTGCCCCAGGGCCTTCTTTCTGCAGGTGAGAAGTCCCTGGAGATGGCCAGGTGCCCTCTCCGTGTCCTGGTGGTGACGGGCACTCCTGCCGTCCCTGAACCCCTGGCCCCTGTTACTTGGCCAGCACAGAGCTGGGCTCGGTGCTCTCACGAGCACGCGGACCTGCTGGCTGTTGGGCCCCCGACGTCCACGGGGTAAGAAGGCTGGATCCTGAACGACTGACTCCCGGGTGGCCTGAGATGCGGGCGTAGGTGCCAGCGCTGCTGTACCTGGGCTGCTCCACATCGTCACAGCTGGGGGTGACTGAGGGAAGACTGACTTTCTCAGCACGGAGACCTCAAAGCAGGGCCTCGCCACAGAGGCTCCTTCTGAATCCTGTCGGCACATCTGGGTCAGGGCGGCTGAGCCGGGCTCTGCCTGCAAGCCGGGCTGGACGCGGTGGGGCGGGGGGGGCCCTTCCCTGTGCCCCCTTCGGGAGTGCTTCTAGACGAGGCTTTCGCCTGGGTCAGAGTCTCTGCCACACTGCACCGTGGGTCAGAGCCTGACCCGCCCCCGCACATTCTTGGAGCTCGGTGGAGACACGGAGAGTGAGAGGCGAGCGCTGGCCATGCTGCGCCACATGCCAGGCAGGGCAGGGACAGAGCAGCAAGCAGGTGGGGGCAGGCTGCCGCCCCCCAGCAAGGCACAGAGGCAGAGACACGTCCAGAGAGGCAGCCAGCAGCGCCGCCGCGTGCTGGGCAGGCGCAGACAGTCTCGGGTGGCGTGAGGCCCAGAGAGGCAGCCACCCAGCAGGAGCGGGGCTGGTAGAGCCGCCCCTGGGAAGTTATGAGGGGAGCCTGCCAGCCCCACGCAGCCTCCAGTCCAGCAGGCACCCCGCCTCTCTGTGGACTTGAGCTGGTTCCTGGGTGAGACAGAGCTGCGTCTGAGGGTGAGGCTGAGGGCAGAGCCCGTTCCTCCTGAGCTACCAGCTACCACGTCCCCATCGTCTTTACTGCCTGCCTGTTTCTGTTCTGACAGGCGGGTCCCCAGGGCTCATGGCTGGGTCTGAGGAGGCCACCACCTGCCGCCCAATGGCTCCGAGTCCAGGCCCATCTCGGCCTGCTGGGCTGATGGGGAAGCCTGACCAGTGTCCGGCCGTCAGCCCTCACGGGTTCCTGCACCATTGGGGGGCGCCCCTGGTGGCTGCTGTCCACTTCACAGGGTTCGGCATAGTTCAGAGTTGGGCCCTTTGTTTTGGTGTCAGCTGGGGATGGGTAGGTCCCCCGTGGCTCTGGGTTGAAGCCAAGGAGAGAAGGTGGGTCTGTTGCCAGGTGACCTTGGGAACGGGGCAGCAGCCGAAGGTGTGCTGCCCACCAGTCAGCAGGTGGTCAGAGAGGCTGACCGCTGTCCCCCATACGTTGCCCTGCCTGCCCCCCGTCTGGGCCCCCAAGGACAGGCATCAGGCTCTCCTGCTCTCATACTTTCAAGGTGCTTCCCTGGAAATGGCTCCCCACCCTGGAGGCAGGACTCAGCGTGGTGCTCAGTGGCTGGGGCTCAGAGCCGGGGGGTGGAGACCTGTCCCACCTGGGCCCCCAAGGCCCCCAGGTTGTGGCTCTAGGCTGTGCGGTCAGTGCAGCTGGAGTCTGGCGGAGGCCTCGCGTCTCCTGTAGACACTTGTTTCCTCTTGCCCTTGCATGCGTCCGATCGTGGCTCCGTCAGTGACTCGCTGTGGACCCTGTGTGAGTCACGTCCTCCGTGCTCAGTGTGACATGGGGACAAGAGCAGCACCCAGTCCCTGAGGTGGTTGTGAGGGCTGGAGGAGGTGGCCGCTGGCCCAGATGTCACAGCCACCCTTGTCCTCGTGCTGCCACTGCTGCCCCCCCACAGTGGTCCCGAGACCTCCAGGGGCTGCAGGACGAGACTGGCCTCTGAGGAGGTGGTGCCGGCTCGCCAACTTTGGGGTCTTGTTCAGCAAATATCCCAGAATGCAAAGGGCTTCCACGCACCCTGTGGCTGTGGAATCCACCTGTGACCGTGTGGGTGAGCTTGGGGGGCGGTCAAGGCCTTTAGAAGCCTGTCTAGTGAGGGCTGAGCCTGGACTACAGGCCACTCCTGGCGCCGGAAGGCTCTCAGCCCCAGTGGAGCCAGGAGAGAGGAGGGCACTGCTGACCACAGGACGTAGTGTCCAGCCGCAGACCTGCCTGCTGGGCTCCTGGGCATTCAGCAAATGGTCACTGAGCTGAGTGGCAGCTGCCCAGACGGGGCCGACCACTGCAGGGAGAGTCCCCGCCTGACTCCCGCGAGGGCCAGCCGCCCCCGGGGCCCCTCGCTCCCTGGGTAACTGTCCCTTCCGCTCCTGACGACCCGCCTCTTCTCGGGTTCCCTCTCAGACACCCCGTCTTCCTCTGGCCAGTGGCTCCCCTCCTGGAGGTGGAGATGGAGAAGCCCCTCCTCGGGCAGCCTGCTTCCTGCCTCCTCAGTCCTGCTCCATTTGGACGTTGCCCCCCTCCTCGCCCCATTCTGGCCTTCCTGGCGGGCAGCCCACCTGCCCGGGAAGCCTGTCTGCCACCTCATGCTGGTGCCTGTCATTCCCACTGCTCTGCACCCCTGGCCCCCCGGCCTTGAGCCCCCACCCCCAGGTGAGGCTCTCACCATCTGTGGGCGCCCCCCGGAGGGCGCAGGGATGAGGTCTGTTTCCCTGGGTATCGGCCGCCAACTCTGCCCCTCGACTCTGCTGGGGTTGCCAGGGCTCCTGCCGCCCCCCCGCCCCCCTACACTGCGCCCTCTGCCATCTCTCCATCGCTGTGTGTCCATCCGTGGCTTCCCCTGCGAGGCAGAGAGGTGGGGGGCGGCTTGGGGGCGCGGCTCACGCGGGTCTCCCCACAGCAGGCATCAGAACTCGGCCAAGGCGCGCTCGGTGTGGGAGCAGCGGGCCAGCCAACTGCGGCTGCAGAACCTACGAGCCAGCTGCGAGGCGCTGTACAGCGAGATGGACGCCGAGGAGCGGCTGCGCTTCGCCACCTCCCGCCACCTGCGGCCCGACATGAAGACGCACCTGGACCGGCCGCTCGTGGTGGAGCCGGGCCGGGACGGCGCGCGGGGGCCCGCGGGGGGCAAGGCCCGGCCCGAGGGCGCGGAGGCTGCCGAGGGCGCGGACCCGCCGCGCAGGCATCACCGGCACCGAGACAGGGACAAGGCCGCGGCCGCGGCCCCGGCGCCGGCGCCGGCGGGGGAGCAGGACACGGCGGACGCCCCGAAGGCGGAGGGCGGGGAGCCGGGGGCCCGGGAGGAGCGGGCACGGCCGCGCCGCAGCCGCAGCAAGGAGGCCGCGGGCCCCCGGGAGGCCCGGAGCGAGCGTGGCCGCGGCCCGGGACCCGACGGCGGCCGGCGCCACCACCGGCGCGGCTCCCCGGAGGAGGCGGCAGAGCGGGAGCCCCGGCGCCACCGCGCGCACCGGCACGTGCCCGAGCCGGGCAGGGAGGGCGCGGTGCCCGGGGCTAAGGGCGAGCGGCGAGCGCGGCACCGCGGCGGCCCCCGGGCCGGCCCCCGGGAGGCGGAGAGCGGAGAGGAGCCGGCGCGGAGGCACCGCACGCGGCACAAGGCGCCGTCCGCGCACGAGGAGGTGGAGAAGGAGGCCGCCGCGGAGAAGGAGGGCGAGGTGGGGGACAGGGACGAAGACAAGGAGCTCCGCAACCACCAGCCTAGGCGAGTCAGCGCGGGGGGGGGGGGGGGGGGGGGGGGGGGGGGGG